CTTGGGAACGACCACCGGTTTCGCCAACCACTCCGGATGGATGACCTCACGGATGAACCCGGCCTCCAAAAGTCTAGCCACCTCCTCGCGGATGAAGGCTTGACGTTCCGGGGCTTGCCGCCGCACTTTCTGCCGGACCGGCCTTGCGCCCGGCCGCACGGCGAGACGGTGCTCAATCACCTCCCTGGGGACCCCGGGCATGTCCGCTGGTCTCCATGCGAAGACGTCAGCGTTTGCCCGCAGGAAGGAGACGAGCGCGTCTTCCTATTTGCCATCCAGAAGACCACCGATCCGTGTGGTCTTGGATGGGCCGTCGCCCAAGGCAACCTCCTTGACCGGGACCTCGTCGCATGTGGCCATCCGCTGCCTCGGGGCGGTGGGGGCAGAGGGGCCAAGCCTCTCGTCACCACCCTCGGGCTTGGACGCAGCAGCGAGGCGGTCCGCGCGCTGCTCCATGCAAGCAAGCGCGACTTTAAGGTCGCCACGGACAGAGATGGGGCCACCGGGGCCCGGCATCTTCATCTGGAGGTAGGCGTAGTGGACCGCCGCCATGAACTTCACCAACGCGGGTCTCCCTAGGACCGCGTTGTAGGGCAGACTGAGGTCCGCCACATCGAAGCTCACCCGCTCCGTGCGGAAGTTGGCGGGTCCACCGAAGGTGACCGGTAGGTCGATGTGACCTAATGGCCACGTGTGCCCCGGCGTCACACCGATGATCGGTTGAGACGGCTGGAGCACCATCCCCGAGGCCTTGATAGCATCAAAGGCCGCGGGGGAAAGGATGTTGAGAGCCGCTCCTCCATCTATGAGGACACGACCCAACTTCACGTTGCAGATGGTGGGGGAAACCACCATCGCAACCTGCCCTCCCCGGGCAATGCACGGTGGGTGGTCGGTCTGGTCGAAAGTGAGAGCAACCTCCGACCACCGCGCCCGACGCATCGCCTCATGGGTAGGGGCCATGGCCAGAAGCTCTCGCTTCATAGCCTTGAAGCTCCGGCGAGAGACGTGAGCACATGCTCCTCCATCGACGGTGGCAATGGTGGCCCCAGGTTCTTGGAAACCTAGGTCATCATCACCATCATCAATGTCAACAGCGGGGGCCTTCTGCTTGGCCTCACTTCGCCGTTTGCCAGAAGGAACCGCCGGGGACTTGCCCTCACGGCGTTCCTGCCTCCTGTCCTCCTCCCATTTCCTCGTTCGCTCGGCCAGGTTTTTGACCGCACGACAGTCCGCGAGATCGTGGAGGGAGGTGTTGTGGACAGAGCACCACCTGCCGGCGAGGCGCTCCTTGCTGGGTGTACCAGCCTCGTTCTTTTTGTCGCTCGCAGGCCTCCCCTTTCGAGTGGCCCGCGGAGCGCCCTCGACTGCGAGGACATGACCCTCGTCGCCGGAACGGTCCGGCCTCTTCTTCCTCCTCCTGTCACGCCGCCCTGTCTGAGCGGCGGATCCGGGGGCGGCCGAAGCTGCCACTCCGGAACCGGAGGAGTTCCAGGTCCAGGCCTCCTCCTTACGAGCCACTCGGTCCGCGAGCTGAAAAAGCTCTGCGGTAGTCTGGGGCTCTTTGGAGGCAATCTTTTCGAGCATGCGGTTGTGCCGCACACCCCCCCTGAACGCGTAGATCACCGCGTGTGCAGGGATGCATGGTATAGTATTGCGGACTTGGCAAAACCGCTGAATGTACGAGCGAAGCGACTCATCATCGCCTCGCTGTACTGCATGCAAGTCCGCTTCTTCGCCTGGGCGCGGATATGTGCCTTGGAAGTTCATGGTGAACTGTTGGCACAAATCTTCCCAGGAGTGGACCGACGCGGGTGGCAGGTTCATTAGCCAACCCCGCGCCTGTCCTTTTAGGGCCATGGGAAAGAAGTTCGCCATGACCCTGTCGTCACCCCCAGCGGCCTCGATCCCGGTCGTATAGACCTGGAGAAACTCGGTGGGGTTGACGCTCCCATCGTACTTCTCGGTGATGGTGGGCCGGAACCTTGGGGGCCAACGGACATTCCGAAGACTCGCCACAAAGGCTCTACAGCCAACACCACCGGCCGGGGGCACGGAGGGCTGATCTTCACGTCCGTGTCGAGGTGACACTCTGGACGAGGAGGCGCCCTCCGTTGCACGGGGAGTACGCCGGCTATTACGCCGGCGCTCGACGTTGAGGCGGGCATCCGGCTCCCCATGCTGATCCTCCCGAGTCGACGGTGTCGACGAGGGAGTGGCAGCCGAATGACGTGCAGCCGCCGCCGCTCGCCGCGCCCTCCGCCTTGATGACACGGAGCCGGTGGTAGCGGCGCCGGAGGTCTTGGTGGTGGCTGACCGTCCACCAGCACCCAGGCGCTGCTGTGCCGTCATGACCAAGTTGGCCACGTCTTCCAGCCATCGTTGGGCTGGAGACTCCGGGTCATGGACGACAGGCGGGTGTCGTAGGAGCGCGCCAGCAGCCTGAAGCGCACCCTGAGGCGTGCTGCCGTCGCCGTAGACGAGGAGGCGACGCTCCCCATCTCGCCGTTCTCCTGCATCACCTGCGACTGGTGATGCCACGGATTTGTCGACCCTCTGAAGCGCCTCCCCCTGCTTAGGGCTTTGGCGCGGAGGAGGTGGAGGAGTACGAGCTCGACGGCGTGGATTCGGCTCCCCGTCGTCGCCGCTCACACTCGGAGAGAGGTCGTGCGCTTTTCCTTGCTCGGCCATTAGGCTGAACAAGAAAAACTTGGCACACACGGAAGAGTCTGAGAGCTCAGAAAACACACGCTGAGCCCCCTACCTGGCGCGCCAGATGACGGAGCTCGTGGCTCTTCACCGGGAGACCGCGCAGGCCCCCCTTTGCCGGTTCGGCCGGGGGCTTAGGGTGAAATCTCAAGCTCTCGCTCTCCCTCTGTATCTGGAAAGATCGTCTGCCCGCAAAACACACGAGACACGGCGATGTATACAGGTTCGGGCCGCTGCCAAGCGTAATACCCTACTCCTGTGTTTTTGTGGATTTGTGTATGAGTGAGCTACCAAGTGTCAGCCAACTTCTCCCCCGTTCTCAGCTCTAAATCTGGAAAAGAATCCAAAAGAAAAAAGAAGAACCCCCTCTCTATGGGCAAGGTCCTCCTTTTATACTTCAAGGGGATACCACATGCACCCTCCCCTTTCCAAACTGGACTTTTCTTCTCTTTATGGACGGAGATTGGTATGGTTGCTGTCCGAATGACACTCCGATGGGACAGCCCACACCTACCTCCACTCCCGGCGGAGACAGGCGCAACGTGGGATCGTGGCTGCCCGTTGCTGACGCGACCAGTGCCAGACCGGTCATTCTTGTTCACCACGCGTCAGTTTAACAACATGCATGTTTGCCCTTCCTTGTGTAACACCTTGCCTGTAATGGTTAGGATGAAGCCTGGTATATATCGATCGGGGTTAACGTGCCATCTCTGGGATGTAACACGCTAGCTCCAGCTGGGGACGAGTGTTTAGAAGCTCACACCTTGACGGGATGGGGTAAGGCGTGCGTCAGACCGCCAGTCGCCACCTAACCCGTGATCTGACCGGTCTGTGACTGGTCACAGACCGGATAAAGGAACGCGCCGTACTGCGCTGTATGCAGCGTGACACGCTTGACCAGACTGCAATAAATGCTGTTAGGTGAGCACAGCTGTGCTCACTTATCCCATATATGTGGCGCAGACTTCCTTAAGGGGGTCGGGGTGCCTCGGCCCTCGGGGCCGGGGCAAGCGCAACCCGACCCCCCCTCGGGGGTAATCAGGAGGAGGGCGGACACCTCACCCTCGGGCCCGACGTCCCCGAAGGTGCCAGGCCACGTGGGCGATTGTGTCTGCCTCAAGCCTCTAGTCATGATACTCCCGGTCCCATATCACCGACAGTAGCTCACGATGGTTAATCGTGTTATGATAATTAATTGATAATTAAAACTTATCAAGGGTGGGTTGTGAGCACATGGTTTTAAAGGTTGTGCTCATGGCAATTAAGGACCGGTTCGCGAGCTACTGTTGTGAGAAATTAACCGTGCCAACCACAAGCCAGCGTGGGCAACGGCTTTACCTTTTGTATAGCATGGTTCATTGCGGGGCACCAGACTGTGAAGCGGCGAGAAGTCCGTGGGGGTCGCTGGGGAGTCCATGCCTCTGGTTATTGAGGGGGTGATTATGATCCAGGAACGGTGCGCTGTGGTGGATTGTGTTGTGCAAGGGGTACTGTCACAGTTCCTTTCTGAGGTACTGTGGTGGTATTGAGGCGCATGGTGACATGTCGTGGAGCTGTGTCTTGTGGGTACAGTGGTACACCTCTGGCCAGAGTAAAACTATTCGAATAACCGTGCCCGCGGTCATGGGTGAGTTGAGCAATGTTTTTCGTGATTAGTCTCACACCTCTCACAATAATTATTGATGCTATAACTGGTAATAATTTGTTTAGCTCCTGGTTTGGAGTTAGATCTGTACAGCCGGGTATGGTTGTTCAGGGTGGTTGGGCCTGTGCAGCATGGGTGTGCTGTGCAGTGTTGATTAAAATTGATGATTAATTACTCTACTGTTTTACTACTCTTAAATGTTTGCTAAATGCTGCTTTTGTAAATGAGCCTATATTATGACATCCTTTGGTATCCTTGTGCACTTGCATATTTACTGTGTAGCTTGCGGAGTATGTCATATGCTCACCTTGCAATAATCAATCAACCTCAGTTGAAGAAAAAGGATCCAGAAGGAGAAGACGTTTGGCTTATACCCCAGTTGAGCTGCCTGTGGGAGTGGAGCTGAAGCCATCGCTAGACCGTTAATTCCGCTGCTATTTTCTTTTCTTTTGTAAGTATGTAATGATGTTATTATGATGGATTTGTATATTAAATTGTCAGTTTGTGTACCTTGGCTGATTTCTGGACGAGGGTTTTATGCACAAATAAGTTCGGAAATTACTAGTGAATTTCCGGGCGTGACACAGACCCACATTTATAACATCTCAATAGTCAAAACTGACATATAAGTCGTCATCAATGGCAGGTGTTTGCTTCTACCTCTATCTATAACTGTCGAAATATTGAACCATTGTAGATTGTGTCATTACAAACGGTTCTAGCTGAGCCATTACACATAACAGGTCATAGATGAAGTTTTTTTTTTAAGTAGTAGTGATTTAATGTAGGGAAAGTATACCAATAAGGTGTAGATTTAGAGGTCATTAGGCCATGTCACATAATGTAATTTAGTACAAGTGCCAATAATTTTTTATACATGTATGAAATGCTCAGAACTATATCGGTTTAACATATAACGATGCTACCATATCCTTAATTGTATTCGCAAAAGTGTATGAGTCTGTTTTCTTATACATGTAATCGGCTGTTCGTGCAAGATCAACAATTGTCTCAGCCACTATTTTTGGTTGTTCTGTTGGTAGTGTAAGGTATTCTTTTACTATATCCTTCCATGAATCTTCAATCAACTCCTTTATCTTCACACATGCATCATGCATTGTTGTTCCATGCTGAAACATGTAACATTGCACAGTAGAAACATGGTGCTCCCCTTTTTGCTCACGCTGTACAAGGGATAGTAAGACAAAGTCAAACCACTATTAAGAAAAGATATGATGGAATTTTCCTTTAGTTTGGCCAATTATAAACTACATATAAATTTGTTAATCATGTGTTTGTTTGTATGAAGTTTATGTTTGTACTTCAAGTTCTATTCTAATAAAAGAATGGAGGTGTAAATGATGCAAGAATAAACATCTATGTAAATGCACATGTGTAAAACCATATAACGACCTTTGTTGAAACTATATCGTTGGATAATCTTGCCAATGTTGTGAAACACTTGAGAAGCTCCGGATATGTCAAAAGCCAATCAAGAGTTTCTTTAGTTATGATATCACCCATTACCACAAAGGAAGCACATGCTATCTCAAAAGCTCCAACAGTCGCTCTTGAAACCTCCAAATGTTCATCGACTGTTTTTGGGATATAATGTTCATCACGCCATTTAATCTCCTGTGAGTATCCTTGAACTAACCTCTTTAACTACAATGAACATAATGAAATATGATTTCAGATATTGAATTTCCATAAAATTAACTGTTGAGAAATATCATTTTACTAAAGAATTAGCTGAATAACAATATTAAAATACAATAGTTTGTTGTACTTATGCAAAGCATGTATACTTTATACGTACAATGGTTTGTTTTATATAGTTTAATTTGGAGCGGTATTTTTTGTATTAACCATTGTACATATAAATGATTTGCATAACAATGTGATTTCTACATACTATATAAAACAAACCATATAAAAGGGTGTTAATTAGTTTTAAGGAAATTCGAATTTAATTGGATTGCTCAACGTTTGTTTACATGGATCATACTACACATCATGATATACAGCCTAATCATAGGATGAAAAAAATATTACCTTCATCCCAAAATATAACTACCTAGGAGTGTAGGGGTGAGATAAAGGATCGGGGCAAAATGTCAAAAATGCCCCTCATTAATACATAGGGGTTTATGGGATTAAGGATAGTATGGGTGGTACATAGTCTCGGGAGCTAGTGAGGTGATGGGGCCATTAGGGGTAGCATGGGGAGTAATGGGGTAATTTAAACAATTTAAACATAAAGACTGATATATTTTGGGACGGAGGTACTATCGCTACGTAGCAATATCAAGATTTAATTTGGTCTAATATAAAATTGGATTATGTAAAGTAAACTTAGAGTGAAGAGGGCAAATTTTATTATTCTTGAACTCTAGTGTAGCTAACATAAATTATAATATGTCATCTTTAGCTGGATAAAGTATATAAATCACACATGTTTAACAAACTAACAAGTTTAATGGCATAAATACTTGCCAGCTCTTTGAGATAAAATACACGATAACTGTTACTTGTTCCAAGTTCCTCTTCAATCAAGTCAAATGTCTTCAATAAATACAAGTAAAAACACTTCATATATTCTGGAAGTCTCACTATTGCACTTTCATTACACCTGTATTTTACATTAGAGCATCAGGTATTTTACATAAACCAAAATACAACCATATCAGAAATTTAGAACTACAAGTCAATAATATTTCCCGAAATTGGTGCTACATGGCCCAGATTAATAATTTAACATACATAATGATTGAATAATCATTAAACCACATTGTAAGAATGGAGTTGCATTTTATACAATTTAATTTGTAAAATTTTTATTCTAGTTGGTTCAAGTCAGTAAATTTGTATGTACAAATGCATGCAATATATACCATCTCTGGGGGGGTTCGGGGTAAAAGTGAAGAAACCCCAAAGACAATGGTAAATTTCAGGAGGAGGATGAATATGAGATAAAAAAGCAACATTAACATTAGACTAAAACTAAAGATTACTTGTATATCGCTTCTGCAAGCATCATACTCTCCTCTGTTGTACCATGGGTGTCAAATATATCATCTATTATAGTGATATAGGCCATCATCTTTATAAGTATAATCCGTGACAGAGAATAATTGAATTCAGGGCATACTCCTGTCATCCAAAAATGCATTTCCACAATTCTATCTCGAATGAAACTTAGATTTGATTGAATATTAAGCTCCTTCCACCATCTGTAATAATGCATATAAAGATAAATCTACTAATTAAAAATAATAATTAAGAAGTACAACTTAGCTTTTTCAGTACATATCAAGTTTAAAGTGACTTACAATGTGATCTTTTTTAGCTCCTCACAATAAAGAAATTGAAGTAGGTTGAAATTCAACTTTGCAAATTCAAGTATGGTCTCATTTCGTCCAGAGATCTTTTCATAGATTGGGATATAGTTTCTTGTTTCTAATATTCGAACCCTCCTAAAAAGGGGTGTTTCAAGGGCAGAAGATACTTCTTCTTTTAACGGAGATTTCAAATGTTCCAATTTAGCTTCAAGGTGGGATTTCGTGAAGGCAATGGCTCCGTCAAGTACTTTGTCCCCACGAGTCCTTACATGTGCTGCATTATATAAGCCTAAGAGACTTCTTACTTCATCAGCAGCAAAACTTCCTTCCTTGTCTTTGAAACATAGAAATATATCTGCAAAGTTTGATAAAATAAAGTATTAATTTGTCACTGTCTTTTAACAATCTATTTTTTATTTTACCAATAAAAGACTTACCAGACGACACGTCATAGCCATTCTTCCTTAGAAGATAAAATCGAAGGGAAACTAGGTTTAGATCTTTATCGTCAAAATCGGAATTGTAAATGGAATACAGTAGATCATCTAGCTCGGTCTTGTAGTAGCTATCCAAACCAAGCCGTTGCAGTGTGAGCACAAGGTCTAGTATCTCAGATACTTCCTTTGAGCCCTTTACCATGCACCTAACTTCTTCTTTCAGCACCTCAGCCCTTTCTTTCATGCATGCATGCTTTAAAATGAGTAGGGTAGTGTGTATTAGTCAATTCTTCCATGCAATCGATCAGAAAGCTACGCCTATTACTTAAAAAAAAAGGAAAACAACTATGTTTATAGCTATATCTATACATATGCCTATAGTTATTAGGCATTGTTGTGATGCAAGGAATATCTCAACATGCCTAATTACTATAATATGATGTTAAATTATTGTGAGATATCGTACTCTTATTTAATATTTAATTGGAGTAGCAAAATTATCTGGGATCCATCGAGCGGAACATAATTATAATGGCTAATATTAAATAAGAGTCCACACATGCACAACTTATTATTATTATTATTATTATTGTTGTTGTTGTTGTTGTTGTTGTTGTTGTTGTTGTTGTTGTTGGTCCCTCCAAGGAAATTCACATTATAATTGGAGAAATAATGAATAATATATCAAATGAAATTAAAATAAAAGTAAGCACCCGTTACTACTTGTTAATTATTAATTCCTAATTTTGAAAATAAATTAACAGGAGTCCAATACAGATAGAACTTTGTATTTATTATTTTCGAAATTCTGAAATATTTAATTAAAAAACTATCACTGAGACTCCAAGGCTAGTACAGCTTTGCATTTGTTGATTTTGAATTTGGACATTATTTTTGTTAATGATAAATAAAGTTAAGACTCCAAACTTGGTAGAACATTACATGAAAAACTAAAACTGAAACTGTTGAACAACATATGAGTGCAAGTCAGGGATGGCATGCCAATTATTATTAATTTCAAGTTTTTATATTGTTAAACAACATGAAAAACTAAAACTGAAACTGTAAATCAGGTATAGTTTTCTTATTAATTCCATATTTATGATTTTTCTGTTCATTTAAACACTAAAATAAATAATCCATGAAAAATACAACTGTGTATTAATTTATTAATTTTGAGTTTCAAGATTACTAAATTAAGAAGATAAAAAACTATAAAAATATTAATTGGTATGCATAATGTTGTATATTAAAATTTTGGGAGTATCTATTGTTCGTTAAATACCATATACAATGTTTGTATATCATAGTATATATAAATAGCACGCGTGAATGCACGGGTTACTGAAATTCTTCAGCGCTATATTTGCAATTAATTGTTTTAAAACAAAATATTTGCGATTAATTGCTACCTGAGATTTATTTGGTGGCTGGTAATCGACGAAGAAATCACCCCACAGGGTGGGGTGGAATGTAGAAGCAGCCTTTTGCATCCTCTCGTTGTCTTCTTTCTCGGAGCAAACAGCTGCAGGTTTGATTACCATTCTATCCATCTTGATATATTAATTAGTTGTCTCTCCTTAAGTGTTCTTCACAATTTCTCTTCTTGCTGACTGAAACTGTGCTGCTCTGAACGGCTACTTATAGAGGGTGAGGCATCGATAGGCCAGCAACAAACGTTGTAATTAAAATGCTGGCATTGATCGTGTCCAAGTGAAGAATCTTTCCATGCAGCAGCCTGCCTTATGACCGAATTGGAAGATGTGATAGTTACAGTTGAACTTACATGAAGTAATTTTGATATAAAAATTTTTGACCATATGTAAATATTCTTTTGAGATGACGATGCAGGCAAGAAGAGGCCAACAACGTTCTAGCTTTGGCATTGAACAGGCCAAGTGATGCTGATGTATATATATATACTCTGACTGTACTGGCTGCTATCGATAGCGTTCCAAACAATGCAGTAATTTGATATACAGTCGATCCTGACCCTTATGTCAATTCATTCTATTTTTTCTAGAAGGAAATGTGCACAAGTGATGTAGCACCAAGAGTTAGAGTAGTACGTAACAGTAGTTTGACTCGGCAGGCTTTAAAATATTTCAGATCATTGTATTCCTATTCCAAACGAAGATAATTCAGGAAAGAGAACGAATGGGGAGAACAATAAAACTACCACCGATGAAGAGATTCCTTGCAGCACACTATAGAGCTCGCATGCTGTCGGTCGATCTTGGTGACAAAAGAAAGAGCTTTTTTACCGTCCATCCAAATTTCTTCTTACCTTTTGGTACCTGCAATCAGAACCATCCATATAGATAGATCCAACGGCTGTCAATACTTGGTACTGCTAGGTACAGAAATCTCCTCTGTGGTACCTCCCCTTCATCCGCATGCATTGAAAGAGTTGAAGGGCAAAATTGGGTTTTCACATGGCTAGGCTGGCTCATCCTTCTTGCGTTGGTTGTGAGTTTGATTCTCGCATGCCACTTATTTTTTTCTGCCGTCTTGCCACATTATTTTTCCCTACTGCCTGTGCTCCCGTTATCATCCTCGAGAGCGCGATATAAGGAGTTCTTCGTGCTCTCTCTCTCCATGGTGATGTGATTCCGGACTTCAATCTTCCTCTCATCCAAAATCAAACAAAAGGCTAAAGCCTAGAGGTGATGATCAGGTGATGCAAGATTTTTTTTTTTTAGGGGGGGGGGGTGGTGGGGGAAGGGAGGGCATCGGCTCCACCGCAACCACAGTCAGGGTCATGGGCGTCAGCGCATCCGCCGTTGGATCGCTAGCCGCCTTTAACAATAAATACAAACTGTCGCGCATGAAGGCATGTAAGTATAGTGGGCCTTTGATGGGATCACGATTTGCACGTGAGGACATTTGGCAGGTCACAAGTCCATTTCCTTCTTTTTCCTATCGTACCCTTACATAATCGACGATTAGATTTTGTTTGGTACCTCATAGTACCAGTACCTAGAGACATCATTTGCTGGACCGTAAAAGCCCACCTCATCAATCCATCAACCCTATGTAGTTTCACTTGCTCATCCCGTCCATCGCATTTACTCGCTAGATCAACACTCGCCTCGTGCTAGCTAGATCGTCTTCTCTTCTGTGGTCCACCCCATGTGATATATATCCCGGTCTCCGCATGCTATGAAAATTTGATCTATATAGTTGTGCTGTATTTGGGAAATTTTTGTCCTGTTCCTTTTTCTTATGTAAGCCTATTATTTGTTTAAGCAAAGTTGGTAATGGATGGATTTGGTTTAAGGAACAACACCATGTATGGGTGTACTATTCATCTAAAGCATGTATGGGTGTTTGGTGACTTCATTGAAATTCAATGTAGATAGACTAGTGTTCATGATGTCACACAAATGAATTAGTCTTTCTATATAGATCAATATTTGCCTATTAGGAAAGAGGATAGCAAGTTCGTAATTAACTTTTAAATTAATGAGATGTGTGATCTGCACATAGCTAACCAATATATTGTACTAATACGCTTAAATATGAGCAAATTTCATAAAACTACATATACTTTACACAATCTATCACAAAACTATATATTTAAGAACTTATTTCACAAAACTACAGATTCAATGTCTTCGTTTATCACAAAACTACAAGTACTTTGCACAATATATCATAAAACACAGATTTAAGAACTTGTTTCACAAAACAACAAATTTAATATCTTTATTTATCACAAAACTACAGGTTTAGTGTCTTCATTATCACAAAACTACATGTTTTAGCATTGTTAAAACCTGTAGTTTTATGATAATGGAGACACTAAATTTGTAGTTTTGTGATAAATGAAGACACTAAATGTATAGTTCTGTGATAAACAAATACACTAAATCGATAGTTTTGTAAAACAAGTTCTTAAATCTATAATTTTGTGATAGATTGTACAAAGTACATGTAGTTTTGTGATAAACGGACATACTAAATTTGTAGTTTTGTGAAATAAATTTTTAAATCTGTAGTTTTGTGATAAATTGTGCAAAATAACTATAGTTTTGGGAAATTTACTCCTTAAATATTAACTAGAAAATGACGTGAAGATAGCTATAACTAGCAAGTTTAATATTATAGCCAACTGCTAGCTCTAAAAATTGGCACATCATCTATTTTTATATAAATATATATTGCATCATTAATAATTGGCAAACCTCTCATACACATAATATTTTAAAGCCCATGTTATAGCTGTCTACAAATCTGCAAAGCTAACTTATTGTACTTGCTCACACCCAATTAAAGGCAGGCAACTCTTGTCTGAAAAATGCCCAAATTAATCTCTGCAAGTACCGATTGTAGCCATGCTTTTTTCTCTATATATGAAAAGAAAAGATTGTACCAAAACCATCTATATATGCAGTGGCATTGGCAAGTCCTTGTAGATACTCGATCATTATCATTGATACAGTGGTGGGTTATTGTCTCGTTTACCAGGACTCCAAGAAACAAGCTACAGATTCCCACCCAGAAAAAACTGCTGCAAATTCTCTCACGACAAAGCAAGTTTCAGATGTCTGAGTGACGCAGAAAATTTGCCACAAGCAGGGAAATTCTTCGTGCATTCATGGCATTTTCGTAGCTACTCCATGCAGCCTAAGTACATGTTGTAGTTAGTTAGCTGCCTGCGTACCAGCCGACGAAATTAACTTGGTCGATGTTGTAGTAGTCTCAGTGCATATGCTCGGAAAATCGCAACCTTGCTATATACTCCCTCCGTTTCACAATGTAACACTATGCCGGCCCATGCTAGCTGTGACGGGCCTAAACTATCATCTCTGACGGATTCGGCCCCTCGTCAAAGATTAGTGGTTAGTGATGACTCTCTTCACCTTTGACGGGTGAAGGGCCGTCAGTGGTGACCAGCCCCTATGACGGGCCACGTATAGAACCCGTCACAGGTAACTATTATCTCAAACGGCACATTAATTTGTGAGCCGTCAGTGATGTCTAAAATCCAGAAAAAAAAAGAAAAATAGACTGGAACCCGTCATAGGTGTGAAAAAACCCTAGCAAGAAAATTGGCGCACGCTGCATTGGTGGTGCTTGCTGTCATCAAACTGACAGCATCACAAAAACATCAAACTGACCACATCACAAAACTTCAACCTGACCAACAGTTCATTGTCCTCCATCACCGCATCACCATCTCATATAGCAATCATTCACAAAAGAGGATGGCAAGAATTTATCATACAACAATATCATATCATTCACAAAAGGGGCACACTAGCCGATAGTTCGTCGTCCTCCATGACGAACCAGCTATGGGAGACGCATGTGGAGGCGCCGCGCTCGCAGCCGCCGGGGAGGCGGCGGAGGATCTCGAAGAGGCACTCCACTGCTGCTGCACCACTAAACAAAAATCAAGAAACAAGAAACCACCATTAGAGCCCACATTCTCAAACCAAACACCTCAAATCAACAACAACAACAACAACAACAAGAACAAGAAGATTTAATTAAAAAAAAAACTCACCGAGGTGGCCGGTGGGTGGGGATGGAGGAGGCGGTATCTGTGCATCCCCGGCCTCTTGGAGGTCGGATCCGGCGGCTAGCGCGGTTGGTGGCGTTGGTGAGGGAGGCATCGGTGGCGTTGGCGGCCGGGAGGTGGGGGGAGGCACCGGCGGAGGTGGAGGCATAGGTGGCGGCCGGCTAGCGCGGGCGGAGGCGGAGGCGGAGGCGCGGCTGGAGGCGTCGCCGGCAGAGGCGGCGGAGGTGGAGACCGTTGCCGCCGTTGGGCCTCGGCCGCCTCCACTCCCGCCGTCGGCCGCCACCGCGCCACGGCTCCAGATCCATCGTCCGCCACCGCGCCTCCTCCCGCCCCTGTCGGATCTGGCGGCCGGGCCGCCGCCGCTGCCCCCGCCGACTCGGCGCCGCCGCGCCTCCCCTCCCGCCCTTGCCGGATCTGGCAGCCGGGCCGCCGCTGCCACCGCGCCTCCCTCCCGCCCCTACCGGATTTGGCGGCTGGGCCGGCGCCATCGCCCCCGCCGGCCCGGCGCCACCACGCCTCCCCTCCCGCCCCTACTGGATCTGGCGGCCGGGCCGGCGCTGCCACCGCCCCCGCCGGCCCGGCGCCACCGCGCCTCCACTGCTGCCCCTACACAGAGAAAGAGAGAAGTGGAAGAAATAGAGAACTGGAGAAGAGGGAGCCGGCCGGCCTTATCTCCTCCTGTGGGCCCCGCTGGGAGAGCAGATATATATATAGTGGCAGAAGTCATCTCAAACGGGCTAGGACTTAAAGCCGTTTGAGGTGAGTAACCTCACCTCTGACGGGCCGTCCGGCTGCGACCCGTCACAGGTAACTAGTCACCTGTGACTGGTTAGGACTTAAACCCGTTTGAGGTGAGGTAACCTCACCTATGACGGGTTCTATTTTCAACCCGTCACAGGTGACTAGTTACCAGTGATGGGTCGCAGCTGGATGCCTCACCGATGACGGCATCCCGTATGACCCGTCAAAGGTGACGGTCATCAGTGACCATTTTGTTTGCCCGTCACAAGTATCCCATCAGAGGTGTGAGGATCTGGTGTAGTGTACTTACATTGTGAAACAGAGGAAGTATATATATATCACTCTCATGCATACAGTTCATATCAAATGCGGATATATACCTTATCTGTGATGGCTCATGAAGGCTATCTCTATTAGTTGAACAGATTGATAGAGACAATTTGTTAGTGATGAGAAAGACTCATCCAGCCGATAGTGATGTAATTATCTGTAATGGTTATAATTGTGATTGTGACAATGTATGGTTGATCTAGCTGGCCAAGATGAGGGGGCTAGAGCTTTAACCATCTTTCGTACTTCATGGTATTTGTTATTTGATCCGCCCATTCTGCTAGATCCAAGCGGCTCAAGATGCAAGGTATCTAGTGGTACTTCAAGGGTCGTAACAACCTGTCTCTAGAACCGTATAGCCCAACCCATCCGACGAGAGGATCCACTTATACTTTTGTCATCGGTTCATGTAAAAGGGTTAACCTGGAATAGTATGGTTGGAGGGACAAACCATTTTCACCCTTACTAAACTAGTAGTGTGATACATAGTAAGCGTGTGCACCTAACTTTTATAGGCCACACAAGTGAATGGGGCTATGTCGATCGACTCCTCTGCGTGCAGATCTGAGTGATAGCCAAGAAGAAGTGACACATCATCAGCCATCCTGGTGATTTCATGGTTGGCCTTTGTTATCTAGCAATCATCGTTGGTAATGAGCGCGTGGTTGCAATGTTTCTGGGACCCCACGGATGCCTCTAATCGGGTTGGAGTAAGAAACAAGGACTAATTAAATGTTCTATATCTCAGAATTCATGTCCAAATTCAGGGGCTGCTGGCCTCAACAAATTAAGGCACAGTTGGATATTCGGAGATGTATTATATATATGCAGCATATATATGTTCTTTTTTCTCATTGATTTGATTTTTTTATATCATACTTACTAGCAATCATGACCGTGCGTTACAACGGGAATTAAAGAATTAATATTAGAAATTGCTTTGCACCGAACATTCGATGCTACGCATTATTGTCGGACATTGCACCTCTACTGTAGAGTTGACGTGAATGCTATCTTTATCCATCCGATCTATGCAAGCCCATACACACAAAAAATCATTCTCCAAGTTCTTCTACTTTGATATGATGTGATTTGCCAACTTTAGCCTAAAACATAAAATCACAATTATGATCAATGGAACACTCCATGATAGAACCGAACTGGAATCGATCTCCCTGATCGCATGCGAACTCGATGTGGCGCGTCGTGCGGGAGTATAGCAACGTACATGGGCAGGACAACGATCTAGTGTTGAAAACGGCTGCACCACGTGAGAGCGGGAGATGGACACACGGTCCCAATTCAAGACGAATGCGTCAGCGCTCGCTCACGGAATTATATAAAATTAAACCAACTTAAACACGGATGATGTACCAAGTCTTGGTAAGGTTCTCATCTTTGCATAAAATTAAACCACATTCTCCACTGCATGTGTGGGCCCCCTTCAAATCCTTAATTTGAGTTTCATTCTTGCGAACGTACTCTCCAGACGGGATACTTAACGTATTAGATATAGCACTACACGGGTCGGGTCACACAACACCTAGTATCCATCGTTTACGGCTAGGACTACTGGGGTCACCAATCCCATTTTCTCCCCTAGCTTTTGTTTCTGAGTGTCAATGTTGGCCTAGTAGAGTGATTTCGCCATTGGTGTCCTTTCCGATCTCAATGCTCAAACCATGCTACCATGCATTAACACAGTTGTAGATAAGGGTCCCTTGAGAATACGCCTCCTCAACGATCAATGGTTAATGGCGGTTAGGCTAGAATAGTTAATAGTGATATCATCATTTTAGAAAATGATGTGAAACTGGGCTTAACAACGGTGACATAATATTTTTTTTGTACCCATCAACTACGTACATGATGATCAGAACATCTAACCATTTATTCATCAGAATATTTGAACAATTTTGCCATGAGATCTATTCCAATTACCTAAAATATATATATAGTTGGAAACATAACAAGATCATATGAGCAATTAGTATATATCTTATTACTGGAGGGGAGAACATTGCACATAATATTGTGACAACAAGATAAGGAAAAACAATTCTTTAACCATGGAAACTTTCTAATGAAGCTTAACTAACGATGGTTTCATGATCAGCAGCCACCATCACATTATTGAAAACTAATTAATATTTGTTACAATTGTGAAACTCCTTACTTGATAATATAATATTTATAATGTAAATGCGTGTGGTGATTTAAATGCTATATGGCTCAACGTAAAGTGATGCTATCATATCCTTGATTGTATGTGAAAAGGTGAATGAATCTGCTTGCTTGTATATATAATCCCCAGTTCGTGCAAAATCAATAACTGTTCTTGCCACGATTTTTGGCTGAAGGTTTGTTGGTGCAAGGTATTCTTTCATCATATCCTTCCACGAATCTTCTATCAACTCCTTTATCCCAATGCATGCTTCATGTATTGTTGTACCATGCTGCAGCATGTAACACTGAATTGTGGAAGCATAGTGGTCCCCTGCTTGTTCACGCTGAAACATTCCATAGCATCATGTTTTAGTTATTTATAATTGAAGTTGAAGATTAATATTTATAAAACATAAATGAATATATAGGTGTAAAGATAGAGAGATATTAAATTACCTTTGTTGAAGCAATATCATTTGAGAGCCGTACACATGTTGTGTAAGACTTAATAAGTTTTGGATAAGTCAAAAGATAATCGAGAGTATCCTCTGTTATAAAATCACCCATCCCAACTAAAGAAGCACATGCTAGTTGAAAGGCACCAACAGTCATTCTGGAAAGTTCCAGGTGTTCCTCTATTGTTTTTGGAATGTAATGATCATCACGCCATTTTATCTCTTCAGAGTATCCTTTAATTAATATCTTGAACTACATTAAAGATGTAAAAGTGTGAATTCAGTCTGTATATTGGCATAATTTTGAAGAAATATCTTTTTACCCAAAAAAAAGATGATTAAGTCATTAGAAGATCGTAAAATAAAGTGGTTACCATAGTTCCCTCTAAGGGCATCCACAATGTGGTGCAAAAGTAGTCCATAAGCATTATAATATTTCATTCAGCCACCTATTACCTTTGTGCAACTAGTCCGTATAGAAAAAATAACAAAAGGTACCCATATGCAAATAGATTACCCATATGGCGGAATAAATAATATTATCTATCTCTACTCCTCTCTCTTTTTCTAATGATACCTTGTGTCTATATATATTGTGGGATTGCTATAGTTAAAGTTCATTTATATGTGTCCCATCTATATGGATCATTTTGTCATATACATAGTTGATGCCCTAGCTAAGGATAAAATAATCAGTTCTCTCCTCTAAAATACATATATTCTATTAAGCATATATATAATCATATCAAGATTTATATGTAGGATATGACCAACAATGAAGTTTCTATACGATTTGTAACAAAAGTTATATTGTAATCAAGGATAAATAACTATATCATTAAATTTCAGTCTATTTAATAATCCCCCCAACTCCCCTCCCCCTCCTTGTTCCCAAAATATAAAGCGACTAAGAGTTTTACATGGTCACCAAATATTGTACTTTGACCATTAATTTATTTCATGATATATCATCAACAACTATGAAAGTAACATTATATGAAAGCATATCCAAATACTACGAATCTAATACAAGGATATGGTAACTACATATTTAATTGTCATATATATAAGTTTTGCCACAAATTGTTTTGAGATAGGAGACTTACCAGCTCTTTGAAATAAAGCACTCGATAACTTTTGTTTGGACCTAGTGCCTCTTCAAATGAATCAAATGTCTTTAAATAATATAAGTAGAAATCCTTCATGTATTTTGGAAGTAGAACTGTTGCAGATTCATTGCACCTATATTTTACAATCTAGTGTCATTTAATATTTTCACAAAAAACAACCAAAAGTGTAATCATGTAGGGAGCCAAATTGCAAATATTTATTAGCGTATAGTGATTTTTGATTAAATGGTTGAAGATTGGCAAGTTTGTCTAGTATACACATTTATTTTATTGGCGTTAATATTTTTTTATGTATAACAGTTCTTATGTCATTTCTTGGTAGATCATATATCCAAGATATAAGATTAATTACGTGGCTAGCTTGATTGTCTGTTCTACCTTCCTAAACTCCTAAGGTTAAATAAAATGGAAGCATTATATATTCTTGGCAAAGGTTGGTGTATGGCATGACATAGGTTCAAAGTATTACTCATGATCATGGACTCATGGTGTGTTCAGTAGCAGTGTCCCAAATATAAGCTAGTGTTGTTGCATACATGTAGGATATTGCCAAATCATTACTTTGTCTAGATAATCCATGCTAAATTTATCTTTTGATGTTTGCATTATGATGATTGCTCTGGATTATATTTTTTTTGACCTCACATTGTCTTTCCACTACTTTATGTCCATAGTATGTGTTCTTTGATTTAAATTTTTAGGATGAATTACTTTAAATGAAATGAATGAATTATTATCAATTCTGCCATGTTTTATATCTATGTTTTTATTTTTTTATTTAACCTCAGAATAATTTTGATAATTGCAATATATGTAAGCATGGTATTTGTGGATTTTATATCATTGCCTGTATCGAAGAATATTATGATTTAACTTATGTATCAACTTCATATTGCATAAAACATGCATGGCAGCAAATGACCAACTGTTAATATTACAATGAGGTTTTAAGTAACCGTTACAATTAATGCCCAGATAGGTTAAATGTTTGCATTTCTTTTTCTAAGAGAAAATTGTTTTCCTTGATCTTTGGTAATTATATATAGGAGAAAATTTAATATGCTTACTCTTTTTCTCAATTAATGAGGCATACATGGGATTAATATATTAATACAACATGGTGAATAGATTACAAGTATCAGAACATGTACGGATATACATGTGCATTGCATATATATAATTTCATAGAGTTATTTGGCTCCTTTATACTATGATTTTGTTATAATTTACTTTTTATGTGTTTAGTCTATTGTGAAATTGATTCCACATACAACTAGAAATTTCACACTTAGTATAAACTAGCTACTACAAAATAAAGATGCAATTAATATTACCACATATTATAATGAAGGCTTACATATATATCGCTTTGGCAAGCATCATGCTCTCCTCGGTTGTAGCATATGTATCAAATATATCATCTAGAATGGTGATAAATGCTGTCATCTTTGTAAGTATAATTCGTAAAAGAGAATAATGGGGCTCCGAGCATGCTCCTGTCATCCAAAAATGCATTTCCACTATTCTATCCCGAATGAAGCTTAAGTTGGATTCAACGTTAAGCTCTTTCCACCATCTGTATTGTACATAAATGTAAGTACTAACTTATTTATCATAATTTCACGAAATTGTAGAATCATTATGCACTTTAAAGTAATTAACTTACCGTGTGATAGTTTTTAACTCCTCACAATAAATAAGTTGAAGGAGATTGACATTCAACTTTGCAAATTCTAATATGGCTTCATTTCGTGTAGTCGCGCTTTCATAAATAGGAATATAGTTTTGTGTTTCTATTATTCTAACCCTCCGGAATAGTGGTGTATCAAGAGCAAGAGACACTTCATCGGCTACCGGAGATTTCAAATGTTTCAATTCTGATCTTAGGCGGTTAGTAGTGAAAACAACTGCTTCATCAAGTACTTTTTCACCATGAGTCCTCATATATGCCGCATTATATAAGCTTAAAAGACTTCTTGTGTCATCAGCAACAAAACTCCCCTCTTTGTCTTTAAAATGTTGAAATATGTCTGCAATGCAAAGGTTGATCATGTTAACTTAAAAATACGAACATTAATTGCATGTCCCCAGCTATATATGTATAGGAGAATATGCAACACAATATAGTTATTAGGCTGCATGCATGAGTATACATGAAATACATTATACTGAAATATACTTCATTTAAATTTCTCCAATCTAATCTATATAGCTAGCTTGTTTAAAATATTTCAGTTACCAGTTGCCAGGGATGTTATTAGTATATAATATATTCAGTTCATAGATGCAAACTATATATTTTTTAAAAAAACTAATAGGGTATCAAATCCTTCTTGTGGTTTTGGAACAGGGAAAGTAAAAAAAAAAGGAATGTTCCTATGTGCTAAGGGTTTAATTATAGGCCAGTAGAAAATGCATGTCCTTGCATCTATCTGCAAAATTATTGGTTTGTTTATTTGAAAATCCTAATTAATTCTTATCATCAATAAGGCCTTAAAATTACCAGATGACACATCATAGCCGTTCTTCCGTAGAAGGTAAAATCGAAGAGAAACTAGGTGTAAATCTTTATCGTTGTAGTCGGTGTTGTAAACAGTGCAGAGAAGCTCATCTATCTCGGCCTTGTAGTAACTATCCAATCCAAGTCGTTGCAGCGTGATCACAAGATCCAATATCTCTGGTACTTCATTTGAGCCCTTTACTACCTTTCTAACTTCTTCTTTTAGCACTTCAGCCCTTTCTTTCATGTAAGCATGCTGCAAATTAAGGAATACACGTCTGTCAACGATGCAACAGAGAATTCTCCGTGTATAAATATAAATATCAGTAATGTTACCGACAGATGGCACAGATACACAATTAATCTCCAATATATACACTCATCCGCTAATAATTTACTATGGTAATATAATTAGTAAAAACGCAGTGTAAATGTAATACTAATGCTGAAGTGTTTCAAAATATTATTCTATCTTATTTCTTATGCCCAATATAAAAATATCCATGAACACTGGAGAAATTAGTTTATTATTAGAGTTTATAACGTTCAGCTATCACATAGTGTAAAATGTCTCACTTATTAATTTCCTATCTACACAGAGCCAGAGAATATATATAATTAAACAAGTATAATTACCTTAGGTGCAGTAGGTGGCTGGTAACTGATGAAGAAATCGCCCCAGAGGCTGGGGTGGAAGCCGGTAGGAGCCTTTCGCTCATCGTCTTCATTGGAGAAATTAGCTGCAGGTGTCGATGACATCTTCTGATCTCTTAACAAAAAGCTCTTTCCTATTAATTGTTGCCAACCTAATTTTATTATTGTTCTGCAACTATCTGGTGAGTGTCTACTATTTGCTGCATCTCGCATGGTATTTATAGACAGTTGCACAGGCAGGCTAGCTGAGCAAGCATCAGCATGATTTCATGTTGCCAAGTCAGAATGATGTACTCATGCTTGCGTGATCCACATGTGTATTTTTTTTCCCTGACTGCTTAGAGATACATACACACACATATGTCATGACTCAAGCAGATACCTACGAGTACACACCCCTTAAATAAGCTCGAGAGATGGTAGCAAACAGTTAGGTGGTGTTAATTTGGATCCAGGGACTTAACTTTAGTCTCTATATTTAGACACTAATTTAGAGTATTAAATATAGATTACTTACAAAACTAATTACATAGATGAAAGCTAATTTGCGAAACAAATTTTTTAAGCCTAATTAATCCATAATTAGAGAATGTTTACTGTAGCATCACATAGGCTAATCATGGATTAATTAGGCTCAATAGATTTGTCTCGCGAATTAGTTCAAGATTATAGATGGGTTTTATTAATAGTCTATGTTTAATATTTATAATTAGTGTCCAAACATCCGATGTGATAGGGACTTAAAAGTTTTAATCCCATCTAAACAGGGTCTTAATCTATTAGACTACCGTTACCTAGCTAACCAACATTTTATTAAAAGCATACATTTACATGTGGTAACTACAGAAACCAAGATTTAAATCTGATAGATGAAGTCATGCGCTCATAAGACCACGACTCCACCACCGCACTAAATATGATTCATGTATGTGTTTAATTATTCTATAGGCAAATACTGAAAGTAGGAGGGGTTTCTTTTTTAAAAAAAAATATCTAGAAGTATGAATTTCCTTGAGAAGTACCATTGCTCTTTTATCAAATAAGAACCAAGTCTGGCTTAGTATGAAACTGCTTCTTTAGCTTAGCTTTTCGGCGACAACTGAAACAAGACGAGTCATTAGCACAAAATTAGTTTTGTATTAAGTATGAAAAACTAAAAAAAAATTATTTGATCTTTTAAGACAATTTTTATAAAGAAAAGTACGTATTTAAAAAATGTATCGTTTATTAGTTGAATAAACATATATACTCACGATAAACAAGGTATGTCTCGATCGGTTGGTAGGAGGGGCCATGTGTATACAGTGTACAACGTACCCCTTCCACGTACGATTGATTCCATTAATTCAAGTGGTCTTGTTTTTAATTTCTGCTGATTGATTTGATACCAGTGTCCTAACTAATAAATAGGCTGTCCCTTATTTTCTTTTTATTTCTTCTTCAAATACATAAGTAATTACAAGGGAAAATTCTCACGTACGTGAAACATGTAGTAGTAGCTCACAGTCACAAGGACAAACATACCATGAGATTGATTGATGATTGGTACGTGTATACTATTCTCCCAGAAAACATTCAAATATGGCCAGCTATTTATCACTGGTTCAGCTTGCATCATCGGTCACACTCAGGCATATATAGCATTAATTAACATTAATATAGCATGGCCGATGCATGCATGGAGCATAGCCACATTCTTTTAGTGTGCATAAATGGACTTTGAACTGCCAGCTTGACACAAATATGAGAATGTAATGGAACTCTTTTAATCTCTCTAGCGGATCTCCACTCGTTTGTTCAAACACTATCCAAACAGTCATAAAAAATATCTCAAAAAATTGACAGCATATATTCATGTAACAAACATATATTGCACTCTGCAAAATCTCAAGTCTAAACTCGTCTCATACATTCGATTTTTTTATCATGTTTTAAAAAGGCAAATCAAGCGTATGAATGGTAGCGGTATTATATTCACACCTAAAATTATCATATCCTTTTTTTCAAATGAATATTAAGTTTGAAGTCGATTTTTTTTAAGTAGTAGTTGTGTCACTCTATACTGTCATTTGTTTCTAAAAAATTGCATCGAATTTAAGAGAAAAGGTCCCATATGTAAGGCTCAAGTGGGCCAAGACACTCACACTGCAAGAGCTAGAGAAGCAACGTGTGGCTTGGATTATGTCCCACCTCACCTAGCTGATGCAATTTATATGTTGGTAGTCACATGTAGCATGTGCCCTACGATGCTATATAAGGGCATGTACAATGGAGATCATAAGCACCTGTGGCCTCAGGCTGTCACATAGGATAAGGCCAATAAAAACCACGATGTCTACAATGGATACCACTGCTAAATATATTTTGTGTTTCAGCCCCTATCTATTTATGTGTTAGTCTCTATGATATTTGTTATTATAAAATTAACTATTTTAGACCTTCTAATAACAAAAAGAAAAATGTACAGATACCCCTAATCTCTATACGGACCCACTGTCAGCCTCTCCAATCCTCTTTCTCATTTATTTTCTCTATCTTATCCTCTTCCTCTCCAGCGTTCCTTTGGAGTCTCGTCGCCTCCGCTTCCTCTCAAAGCCGTCGCTCCCCCTCTCGTGTGCCACCGCATCATTGACTCCTCCACATCTCAACGCAGCATCCACCTCCGGCCTCTCCCCCGCGTCTTCTCTGCAAGCGGCGATGACGGAGCCACATGGCGGCGGTGACAGATTTGGCTGCGAGCTCGTCGGCTCTCGCCCTCCCTTCTCTACGAGTGGCGGCGGCCTCTTCCCACGAGGGCAGCGGATCTGGCCTCCGGCTTCTTCCCTCTCCCCCCCTCTCTTCTCGCGGCGGCCGAGGGACCACCAGCGGCAGGGAGGAGGAGTTCTCAACGGTGAGTACTCGGCGGCGGCGGGGAGGAGTTCACGATAGCGGATCCGGACGCGGGCTCGACGCTGCCGTACTCCTCCCCCCACAATGGTGCGGACGAGCTCGCCGACGGCGTGGCGAGCTTGGCGGTGGCGGGCTCGCCGGATCTGGGCGCAGGCTCGCCATATCTGGCGACGGGGGCCACAACGGTGGCGGTTCCTCTCCTCCTCCCTTCTTCGCGAGCGTCGGTGGCGGGGAGCAGCGGTGGAGGAGGATCTGGCGACCGGACGAGGCGATGCACGGGGCTTCGGCTCCACCAACGCGTGTCCTCGGGTCATGGCTTCGCCGTTCCCGAACCCAGGCGCAGCGCTTCGAGCGGTTCTTCTGCAAGCGCGGAAACGGCCCGCGGAGCCACGGTCCCCACTGCCACCGGTGCGCGCGTCCGACGTGGAGCCGTGAGACCACAAGCTGGAGCCACGCGTTGTACATGTCCTAAAGCAGGGTTCAATCTTTCGTCGTCGGCATTATTTTAAATTATTTGAATTTTCAAAAAAAATTGATCAAATTTGAACAAAATTCAGAAAAATGAAAAAAATAAAAAATTAGGCCAAAATAATGTCATATTGAGGGGGTCCGATAGAGCCAACATTTCTGGAATTTTGAACCCTTATAAGATAGTGATATGACCATCAAGTATATGCATACATCCCAGCATGAGAAATATAAAACATGGCCAAAGAATTCATCAAGTGAATGGAGGATCTACAAGATATTAAAATCCAATGAGTTTTGGAATCCAGTTCGGCCTCCGGAGACAGCACTGACTTCAAATGGACCTAGCGCCTTCATGCCAACTCCGATTTGTGTGATCTTGGACTTCGTGGAAAGCTTATCTCGCCACCTTTCAAACGCATCTGGTACCATGTCCAAATTCATCTCGAGTCAACGGGAATCGCCAAAACAAGACAGTGTTGTTGCTAAAACCGAACTTGGGCCTTGAGCCTTGTAATAGACTAGGCCCCCTCCACCTCCACGAATTTTAACTTAACCCTAGATTTATTTTCCTCTATAAATAGCTTTGTACATCCTCAAAAATATTTGGGTTTTGTTTAGTTGAATTTTGCCAAGTGCCATTCACCTTGTCTCTAGTCCTCGTTCGATTAGTCGACGACTTTAGATTCAGAGCCCCTAATAGTTGGTGTGTTGATTTGCCGGGTCGATTAGATCTACCACTTCAATCGCAACTATTTCTTTGTGCTTAATCACCTATTCGCAATATTTAGATTGCATCTTATCTTGTTCTTGCAGTGTTCTCTCGTTTGTATTGCAGGGATCATCAACCGCGCGTCACGGTTGGTACGATATCGTTTGTGGTGTAGCGATTGCACGGCGTCCTGGACTTGTTCTGATTGGTAGCCACGTCGCAAACATCGTACTCGATTATAGCGAGAGTTATCCCCTCACCAGAAGATCGGCCCACGAGAGAGAGCGTCATCAGATAGTAACAAGAGATCTTACATATGGTTGACCTCTCTTTTAGCCATTAGTGGCCAATTAATTAAGATGAATATTTTACACATGTAAATGTGATGTGAGGACCAACTTGGTCCTGTTGGTCTAGTCAGACTGATCGCTCTTTTTTAGTTAGAAAGAAAAATGGAATTCCTGATGACAAAATGGTTGACCTCTCTTTTAGCCATTAGTGGCCAATTAATTAAGATGAATATTTTAAACATGTCAATGTGATGTGAGGACCAACTTGGTCCTGTTGGTCTAGTCAGACTGATCGCTCTTTTTTAGTTAGAAAGAAAAATGGAATTCCTGATGACAAAATGTGGCAATAGCATGTCGAAATCCTAGGAGCCTATTCTTTTTTTTGTTTCTTACAAAACAGTGTTGTACCTATCTATATTAATTCGTCTGTGTGTGAACAGCAATAGCACGTTGGAAACCTGAGCTTATACGTATTTCGTCTTCCTACTTGGTACCTAAAAGTGTTGTCTCTATCATCTACTACCTCCGTTTCACAATGTAAGTCATTCTAGCATTTTCCACATTTATATGGATGTTAATGAATCTAAATAGATATATATGTCTAGATTCATTAACATCAATATGAATGTGGGAAATGCTAGAATGACTTACATTGTGAAACGGAGGGAGTATTCATCTCTACTTAAAGCTACCGCACGCCGTTGAAAAACGATTTTCACATGCCCTTTACCTCAGGGGGCGTTAATGAAAAACGTCACGCGTTGGTTTCTCTAGGGAACAGAGGTCAAGGACTGTCTGCGACAGCTTTCCGCTTTGGAAGCATCTCCCCCTCCCAACTGGTAGTGCTTTCTCTCTTGCTTTTAATTTTACTCTACTTCCTTGTCGATCCCCACGGACGGCGCCAATGTTGAAACAAATCAAACGGGAATCCAACAAGTGTTTAAGGTAGTCCTCTTTCTATATTCAACATCTCCCAATAGTGAGCCGATATACATTTATATACCCCATAGAAGTACAGGAAATTATGAAGGCAGCCTTCTCAGCCTCTACTCTCCTGCTAGGGACCAACAGGTGGGTCCCACAGTAATTAGGTAAAGTTCTAGGGGACAGAGGATGGGACTGCTCCCATTATGCCCGTTTCGACATCTCCCAATACTGAGCCGGTATACATTTATATACCCCATAGAGGTATAGGAAATTACAAAGGCAGCCTTCTCAGCCTCTACTCTTCTGCTAGGGACCAACAGGTGGGTCCCATAGTAATTAGGTAAAGTTCCAGGGGACAGAGGATGGGACTGCTCCCATTATACCCGTGTCCCCAGGGATCCTGCGACTCCCGGGTGCGTGGCTCAAGGGCAAGGCGGGAGACTGGGGCTCCTCGACCCTTTGCTCTGGCACCGCCGCTTGTGTCAGGGGTAGTTGGGCACCTTGAATGCGCCATCAATGCCGTTGGTGTCACGCGCCCTGGATGCCATCATGTTGTTGGAGGCCTAGGGAATGGGACTGACTTTCTCCCCCTGAGGCTTACTCCTGGAGCCCCTCGAGGGCTCCGCAAAGGGGACCTTCGCTAGTCTCCCCCGGTGGCTGGCGGGCTCCGAGGGGCTTCCCAGGAGCAAGACTGTAAGACTCCTTAATCAGCCACGAGAATGGGGACGACGGGGGATCCTCGGTCCCATGCCTCCGAGGGCGAAGCCACTTCCCCAACAGCAGGAACATAATTATAATGGCTAATATTAAATAAGAGTCCACACAGTCATAACTCCTACTCCGATTTAGTGATTACTATAGATGAACTTATTTTGGAATAAACATGAGGAGCTAAAAATAAACTAGTTACGGGAAGAAGGGAGTAATAAATGCTAAAATTATCTTGTAAATTTTAGGTATAAAGGTGCGGTTATAACCAAATCCATCGACCAACACGGCCCATGCGGTTGCAAACAAGCCCATGGGCTAGCATGGTTAGCTGAGATCGTTTGCTCACAATGGAGGTTGTTTGCGGAATCATGCTTACTGGAGATAAATTCTTTAGTCAAATGTAAGGCTAGATATAAGGGTTTTTTTTTTCTTTTGCGAAGAAATATAAGGGTCATATAGACTTGAATTCTTATTCCAACCACAGATCAAGCGTTGCTCCAGTGCTGTTGGACACATGGAGTTCCCTTGGTGATAATTAAGGTTCAATATATCTATCACTTCTGATCTAGACCATGTCAGGAGTCAATACATGAAAAGCTTAACAACGGTGACATAATATTTTTTTTGTACCCATCAACTACGTACATGATGATGATCATAACATCTGAACATTTCATCAGAATATTTGAACAATTTTGCCATGAGATCTACTCCAATTAACTAAAATATATATAAATAGTTGGGGGACAGAACAAGATCATATGGACTTAGTATATTGCACATAATATTGTGACAACAAGCTAAGGAAAACATTTCTTAGTTTAACCATGGAAACTTTCTAATGAGGCTGAAAGTAATGATTATTTGGTGATCAACAGCCACCAACACATTATTGAAAGCTAGTGAATATATATTACAATTTGAAACTCTATATTGGATAATATAATATTTATAATGTAAATACATGTTTTGATTTAAATGTTATACGGCTCCATATAGAGCGATGCTATCATATCCTTGATTGTATGTGAAATAGTGAATGAATCAACTTGCTTGTACATATAATCACCCGTTCGCGCAAAATCAATAACCGTTCTTGCCACGATTTTTGGTTGCAGGTCTGTTGGTGTAAGGTATTCTTTCATCATATCCTTCCATGAGTCTTCTATCAACTCCTTTATCCCAACGCATGCTTCATGCGCTGTTGCACCATGTTGGAGCATATAACTCTGAATTGTAGAAGCATGGTGGTGGTCCCCTGCTTGTTCACGCTGAAAGATTCCATAGCATCATGTTTCAGTTATTTATAATTGAAGTCGAAGATTACTAAACATAAATAAATATATAAGTGTAAAGATATAATGGTAGAAAATGACCTTTGTTGAAGCAATATCATTTGAGAGCCGTACACATGTTGTGAAAGACTTAAGAAGTTCTGGATAAGTCAAAAGGCAATCAAGAGTTTCCTTTGCTACAAGGTCGCCCATCCCAACAAAAGAAGCACATGCTAGTTCAAAGGCACCAACAGTCTTTCTTGAAAGTTCCAGGTGTTCCTCTATTGTTTTTGGAATGTAATGATCATCACGCCATTTTATCTCTTGAGAGAATTCTTGAACTAACCTCTTGAACTATATTAGAGGTGTAAAAAGTGTAGTGTTAATTCAGCCGTTATACGGGCATAATTTTGAAGAAATATCATTTTACCAAAAAATATGATTGAGTCATTAGAATGTCATAAATAAAGTGGTTACCATAATTTCCTCTTAGGATAAAACAATCAGTATTGTTCGTTGAGTTAGATATATTCTATTAAAACATACAATCAAATAAATATTTATATGTAGAATATAACTAACAATGAAGTTGTTATATAGTTTATAACAAAATTTGTATCATAATCATGGATAAATAACTATATCATTATATTCCAATCTATCTAATACTCGCTCCATCCAAAAATATAAGGCGCCTGATTCACATGGTCATCAACATTGCACTTTTGACCATTAATTTGTTTCATAATATATCATCAACAACTATGAAAATATATGAAGGCATATTCAAATACAGATCTAACATAAGAATATGGTAACTACATATTGTCATTTATTTTACAACCCATTAGATATATCGATGTATTAAAAATAAAACAATTCTACATCTTTAGCCATAAATAGTTTTGGGGTAGAATACTTACCAACTCTTTGAGATAACACACTCGATAACTTTTGTTTGGACATAGTGCTTCTTCAAATGAATCAAATGTCTTTAAATAATATAAGTAGAAATCCTTCATGTATTTTGGAAGTAGCACTGTTGCAGTTTCATTGCACCTGTATGTTACAATATAGTGCCATTTAATTTTATTCACAATTCAAATTAACCAAAAGTGCAATCATGTATGGAACCGCAACTCAAAATATTATATTAGCTATAGTGGTTTTTTTAATAAACGAAAGAAGACTAGTAAATTTGTCTAGTATATACATATTTATTGGCATTAACAAATTTTGACATACATCAGTTCTTATGTTATTTCCATGGCAGATAATATATCCAAGATAAAAGATAATGTTCGTAGCTTGATTGTCTTCTCTACCTTCCTAAACTCCTAAGGTAAAATAAAATGGCAAGCATTATATTCTTGACTAAGATTGGTGTATGGCACGATGTAGCTTCAAAGTACTACTCATGGTCAGTCATATGGTAGTCACTGAAGCAGTGTCCCAAATATAACCGTTGTTTGCACTGTCCGAAATATATATGGCAAAATTGTCATTTCGTGTCCAAACAATCTATCCAAAATTTAATATTTTGATGTGTGCACTATGATGATTACTCTAGAATTTTTTTCATCTAACATTTTTTCTCCACTGCTCTCAGTCTATGGTATGTGATGTTCGATTTAATTTTTTAGGATAAATTACTGTAAATGAAATGAATGAATTATTTTCAATTTTGCCCTGTTTTATATCTATGTTTTTACTCTTGTTTGTTTATCATCATAGAATAATCTTGATAATTGCAATATACGTAAACATGATATTTGCGTGTCATTGCCTTTATCGAATCGATTTTAGAAATATTAAATTACCTCAAACATTGGATTCGGATATGATTCAAGTAAAGCATTAACTTCATGTTGCATAAAACATGCATAGCAGCAAATGCCAACTATTATTATTGCTTTTAAGCAATTATTATAGTAAATGCCCAAATAGATTTACTGTTTCTGTTGCTTATTTTTAGAGAAAACTGTTTTCCTTGATCTTTGGTAATTATTTAGGAGAAAATTCAATCCACCTACTCTTTTACTCAATTAATGAGACACACATGAGATTAATATTTTAAGATGTTATGGTGAATACATTACTAGTATTTAAACTAAAAATGTGTGCATCGCAATATATAGTATTCATATTCATAAAGTTCCTTCGCTCCATTCTACTATGAATTTTTTAATAGTTGACTCCTGATGTTCATCCTACAGTGAAATAGATTCTACATACAACTGGAAATGTTTACACTTAGTAAGAACTAGCTATACAACTGGAAATGTTTACACTTAGTAAGAACTAGCTACAATATAAAGCTACAATTCATATTAGCACATATTGTAATGAAGGCTTACATATATATCGCTTTGGCAAGCATCATGCTCTCCTCGGTTGTAGCATATGTGTCAAATATATCATCTAGTATGGTGATAAATGCTATCATCTTTGTAAGTATAATTCGTGAAAGAGAATAATGGGGCTCCGAGCATGCTCCTATCATCCAAAAATGCATTTCCACTATTCTATCCCGAATGAAGCTTAAGTTTGATTCAACATTAAGCTCTTTCCACCATCTGTATTATACACAAATGCTAGAAATTACTTATTTATAATAATTTGAGGGAATTGGATAATCATTATACACTTTAAAGTAATTAACTCACCCTGTGATAGATTTTAGCTCCTCACAATAAATAAGTTGAAGGAGATTGAAATTCAACTTTGCAAATTCTAATATGGATTCGTTTCGTGTAGTAGCACTTTCATAAATAGGAATATAGTTTCGTATTTCTAATATTCTAACCCTCCGGAACAGGGGTGTATTAAGAGCAAGAGACACTTCATCAGCTGCCGGAGATTTCAAATGTTCCAATTCGGATCTAAGGCGGTTAGTTGTAAAAACAATTGCTTCATCAAGTACTTTTTCACCATGAGTCCTCAGAAATGCCGCATTATATAAGCTCAAAAGACTTCTTACATCATCAGCAACAAAACTCCCCTCTTTGTCTTTAAAATGTTGAAACATATCTGCAAAGGTGATCATGTTAACTTCTTAAAATTATGGATATTAAGTGCATGTCCCCAACTATATATGTATATGAGAATATGTAACAGAACATAATTAGGCTACATGCATGAGTATATATGAAATACATTATACTAAAATGTATAAATGAAATTTTATGACAGGTACTTCAATTAAATTTCTCCAATCTAGACTGTTTGTTGTTTTTCTAATATGATTTGTTTAAAATATTTCAGTTAACCGCAGCACTAATTTCTACTAGATGCTAGGGGTGTTATTAGTATATATTTAGTTTATAGATGCGAACTATATATTTTTCAAACTAATCTATAAGGTTCGTATTGATTCCTTCTTCGAGATCTTTGAATAGGGCAGTTGGATAATTGGAATAGAGTAGAAAAAAAGGAAAGTTCCTATATGCTATGGGCTTAATTATATAGGACAGTTAGAAATACATGTCCTTGCATCTATCATCAAATACTTTGTTAGTTGTTTCTTTGGAAGAAACTAATTAATTAATTCTTATCATCAATAAGACCTTAATTACCAGATGACACATCATAGCCGTTCTTTCGTAGAAGATAAAATCGAAGAGAAACTAGGTGTAAATCTTTATCGTTGTAGTCGGTGTTGTAAACAATGCAGAGAAGGTCGTTTATCTCAGTCTCGTAGTAACTATCCAATCCAAGCCGTTGCAGCGTGATCACAAGATCCAATATCTCTGGTACTTCACTCGAGCCCTTTACTACCTTCCTAACTTCTTCTTTCACAACTTGAACCCGTTCTTTCATGTAAGCATGCTGTAAATTAAGGAAGACACATGTTTCAACCATTCAAAAGCATACCATGTATACATATAATAAATAATCAGTTACCTATAGAAGGCACAAATACACAATTAATCTCCAATATGCACTCATGCATCCACTAATAGTTTTCGATGGTAATTAATAATATAGTTAGTACAAAACATGGTATAAATGTAATACTAATGTGAACATATATATTTCTCAAGATAAAGTCTACATTATTCGTTATGTCCAACAAAAAAAATTCCACGAAAACTAAGGGACCGTTAGTTATTTAGTTATAGTTTATTTATAAAGTTGAACTACCACATAGTGTAGAAATGTCACTTACTAATTTCCTATCAACTGAGAATCAGATAGTATATATATATATACTACTCCTTCCATATTTTAATGTATGATGCCGTTGACTTTTTAATCAACGTTTGACTATTCATCTTATTCAAAAAATTTATGTAATTATCATTTATTTTATTGTGGCTTAATTTATTATCAAATATTCTTTAAGTATAACATAAATATTTTTATATTTGCACAAAAAATTTGAATAAGATGAATGGTCAAACGTTGTTTGAAAAGTCAAAGGTGTCATACATTAAAATACGGAGAGAGTATATAATAAGAAAGTAATTGCCTTAGGCGCAGTAGGTGGCTGGTAACTGAGGAAGAAATTGCCCCAGAGGGGTGGAAGCTTGTAGGAGCCCTTCGCTGTGGCTGCTCATCGCCTTCATTGGAGAAAGCTGCAGGTGGCGACGACATCTCTTAGCAAATTAAAATTCTCTCTTCTATTGTTGCCAATGTAACCTAATTATATTTCTCTGCGACTAGCTGGTGAGTGGCTACGTCTGCTGCCTCGCGTGGTATTTATAGACGGTTTTGCACAGGCTGAGCAAGCATGCATCAGCATGACTTCATGTTGGCACACGTCAAAATGATGTAAGCATATGCTTGCATGATCCACGTGTGTGTCATCCTTCCATGATTGCCTAGAGTATGTCATGATGCAAGCAGATACCAGCGAGAGTACAGACCCCTAAAACTCGGTGAGATGGTGGCCAACGGATAGGCCAGGTGTTCGGTTCATAACCACACTTTATCACACCACACATTTAACCGTCACAATTTGTTAGCCATGTGTTTGGTTCACTCTGACAATTATACCTTGCCACATTTTCTTTTAATCACATGTCCCACACATCATATACTCAATTTTCTTGCTAACTTTTCCACACTTTATTGCTAGCAATTTGTCCACCACACTTTTGTGGATGCCTCGACTTGACCTAATTAATCTTTGTTAGGGGTAAAGAATGGCTGACAACCAAACACACCCTTAATCTTTTATAGTGTGTTCTCAACTACACATTTTCAACTTCTAGTCCCTCATTTAATTCTTCGCACGCGTGTTTCCCAAACTGCTAAATGGTGAGGGTTTTTTTTAAAAAAAAAAACCTATACAAAAGTTGTTTTGAAAATATCATATTAATTATTTTTTAAAGTTTTTTTTAGCGAATACTTAATTAGCTAGTTAGCTCTGAGCCACCCCTTTTTTACGTGCACAGGAGAAAAGTTCCTAACCCTCTCCTCCGAACACACATCTAATAGATGAATTCCCTAAAAAAAACATCTAATAGATGAAATCATGCATGCGTATGTAAGGAAGTTGGGAGGGTTTCTTATTTTCCAAGTAAATGTCTAGAAGTGCAAATTTTCTTGGGAAGTACCATTAATTGTTCTTTTGTCAAATAAGAACGACCGAGCCTGGCTTAGTATATATGAAAAACTGCTTCTTTGGCTTAGCTTATCAGCGGCAACCGAAGCAAAACGAGCCAGTTGCTTATAGCTAGTTGAGTCTTAATTAAGTATTGAAAACTGAAAAAAATAAATTTATTTGACTTTTTAAGATAACTTTCATATAGAAAGTATTTTAAAATAAAATAATATCGTAGTAGATAGGAAAATATGCTTGTCATAAACAAGGTAGTAGTCATTGCAATTTGCGAAGCAGTTTAGACAGCCTTAACTCGATCAGTTAGTAACTAACACTACCACGTACGATTGATTCCACGCATTAGTGGGTCGTCTGTTTAATTTCTGCTTAATTGATTTGATACAATATGTCCTAACTAAATAGGATTATTTCCTCATTTTCTTTTTATTTCTTCTTCAAATACAAGGGCACATTCTCACGTGAAACACGTAAAAGCTCACAGCCACAAGGGGAAACATATGACACTGAGTGGTATTTCCTCCGCCCCATAATATAGCAAATTTATTTTTGTCTATATTAATTCATAAATGTGTCATATCCCTCAAAATCTCTTATATTATAGGTCAGAAGAAAGAAATAATAGGTAAATACCACTATCCTCCCAGGGAGAACTTGCAAATTGGCCAGCTATTTCTCATTGGTTCAGCTTGCATCATTGATCACACTCAAGCATATATATAAAGCTGGCCGAAGCATGCAAGAAGCATAGCCAAATTCTTTTAATTAGCGTGTACTTTGAAATGACAGCTCACACTCAAAGGGAACGTTAATACCATCTCGTTTTAATCTTTCAGCTGAAAAGAACACCACCTTAGGGCCCCTTTGAATCGTAGGAATAAAAAAACAGAGGAATAGGAAAAACACAGGATTCTGACAGGAATACAATTGTAAAACAGAGGATTGCAAAACACAGGAAAAACACAGGAATGGCCGTTTGATTGGACCACAGGAAAAACGCAGGAATCAGATGAGAGAGATAGACTCAGAGGAAATGTTCCAAGAGGTTAGACCTCTTGCTAACTTTCCTCCAAAATGTGCATAGGATTACCCATTCCATAGGAATTTTAAAGGATTGGATAGGATTCAATCCTTTGTCTCAAAGGCCTTCATAGGATTTTTTTTTCCATAGGATTGAAATCCTCCAAAATTCCTACATTTTTCCTACAAATCAAAGGGGCCCTTAATCTCTCCAGCAAAACTCCTCTCGTCTGTTCAAACACTGTTCAAACAGTTACGAAAAAAATCCCAAAAAATTGACAATATTCATATACCACACTTCATTAAAAGTCTAAACTCAAGACATCGATTTTTATTAAAAAAAAGAGATAAATCAAACGTCTGAACGGTAGTGGTACTATTCACGCCTAAAATTCTCTCTTTTTTCTGAATGTATATCAAGTCCGAAATTGATTTTCTTTCAAGTAATAGATGTCACTCTGTTGTCAATTGTTTCTAGAAATTTGCATTAAATTGAAGAGAAAATGCCCCATGTAAGGCTCAAGGGTCGACAAATTAGATAGGTGTGGTCCAGCACACTCATACTGTAAGAGCTAGAGAAGCAAATAATGTGTGGCTCGCATCATATCCCACCTCACCTAGGGGTAATGGGCCCGTGCTCTTTGTACAACCCATCTTAGCTCTTAAATATTTTTAGCTTAAAAATCTATTAAATCTTATCCTAATCTTTTTTGACACAACTCTTATATATGTTTATAGGCTAAAATGTTGGGCACCTTACAACCCCTAAATACATTATGTTGGTGGTACATAATTAAACAGCATGTGTCCTATGTTGTATATACAGCCGTAATAGGATGTGTTCCATATATATGTTCGACCTGTCTTTGAGCAAATAGTGGTCAAGATTATGCATATTTTACAAATTAAATTCAAATGTAATGTGAGGCCCAACTTGGTCCTGTACGTTGGTCTAGTATAGGACTGATTGCTCTTTTTTTTTCCAAAAGGAAAAAAGGGAACTCGTGATGAAATAATATGTGTGGGTCTAAGTACATAGCACGTCGAAATCTATAATGTTATATTTTTTTGTTTCATAGGTTACTTACAAGTGCTGTCCCTATATATTTATACGTCTGTGTTTGAACAGCAATGACATGTTCGAGACCTAAGCTTTATACGCATTTTTGTCTCAAGAGATGCCTAAAAGTGTTGTCCCTATCATCTATTCATCTCTACTTATAAGTTACTCCCTCCATCCCAAAATGTTTGATGCCATTGAATTTTTTAAAAATATTTGACCGTTCGTCTTATTTAAAAAATTTAAGTAATTTATTGTTAAATATACTTTTATGTATACATATAGTTTTACATATTTCATAAAAGTTTTTGAATAAGACGAACGGTCAAACATGTTTAAAAAAGTCAACGGCGTTAAACATTTAGGGAAGGAGGGAGTATAACGATACCACCGTTCTCATGCATATGGGCCACAATTTCGAAGGTTCCCCGAGTTAGACCTAGCCAAGTACTGATAAGCTGCCCGCTACAGTAGGTGGGATATTGATTTAATCACCTCCCTCTACCATAAAACCGGGTATAACATCTCCTCCATATTTAAAAACCGGTGCAAATCAATTCCTTTAGTTGTTTGGAAGGTGGTTTCAGCTGACGTGGCATATTGACCGCAATTGACTAGCTAAGTCAGTGGGCGGGACCCATGTATCATCCTAATCTTATCTTCTTCCTAACCTCTCCTACCCTCTCTCTCACCAGGATGCACCGACGACGACACGTCCCACGGAGGCAGCAAACCGGCGGCACCCACTATCAACGCCGCACTCCGATCCCAACCTTTAGTTCTCCGGGACAGGCAACTTCTCCAGTTAGGACTATGGCTTTCCGGTCGGGGTCGCCATGAGAAGTGGCTTGGGAGGATGGAGGAGCATAGGAGAGTGGAGTAGCAGGTCATCGTACCACTGGCCTCCCGCCACTGCATAGTCTCCCATGGGAGAAGGGAGAAGTGGGGTTGACAAGTGGGCCCCACCAATTTTTTATTTTTTACTTTGGGGCAATTGCGCATCTGACCCTGTTTTGAGACCTAACTTCCAATTTGACCCTCTTTTTTCAACTTTGCTCATTTGACCCTCCTATTTAAAATTGAAGATACAATCTAACCATCTTCTATTCAGGGCATGTAACGGTGTCAATTGGAACAAAAAAAATACCCCTTCTGCCCTTGTTTATTTGACTCTATTTTATCAAAAATATTACAAAATTTTGGATTCGAACCACCATCCTCTTCACCACGGCGGCGTCGTCATCGTTGCCGACCCGGCGGCGGCGCTTGCACGGAGGAAGATGGAGGCCGGCGCGCGGGGAGGGAGGGAGCGGCGCCGGAGCTTGCCGGCGTGCGGAGGGTGGGCTGTGGCATCACACGCACGGAGGAAGGAGGCCGGCGCACAGAGGACGAGAGGTGACGGCGCGTGGGGAGGGAGGAAACAGTGCCTAGTGCGGCGCCGGAGCTCGCCAGCACGCGGAAGGAGGTAGCGGCGGTGGCGGAGCGCCGGCAAGCTCTCCGCGCCCTGGCCGCCGTCCTCCTCACCTCACTCCTGCGTGCTGGCGAGCTCCGGTGCCGCACTAGGCACCGTTCCCTCCCTCCCCGCGCGCCATCACCGCTCGTCCTCTGTGCGCCGGCCTCCTTCCTCCGCCGCTCGCTGCTGCTCCTTCCGCTCGCTGCCGTCTACACCCCGCATCCGCCGTCGCCGCTCCTTTCTCCGCGCGCGCGCCACCAGTACCGCGGCGCCATCCCTCCGCCGCCGCTCGCCGCTGCTCCTTCCGCTCGCCGCCGCTCCTGTTGCGCCCCGCATCCGCCACCGCCGCTCCTTTCTCCGCGCGCGCGCCACTAGCACCGCGGCGCCATCCCTCCACTGCCGCTCGCCACCGCTCCTTCCACGGCGCCCCGCAGCTGCCATCCCTCCGCCACCGCCGCTACCTCCTTCCATGAGCAGCCGCGCCGGCTTGTCCCCTCCGTGCGGCGCCGCCGCCGAGCCCAGCTGCCCCCCGCCCTTGAGCCAACGCAGCCGCCGCCGACGGTCCTCCAGCCGTCATCGCCCCTCTGCAGCCGCCGCTGCCGCCGGCGGTCCTCCTCGTCATGCCGCCGCCGTGGAGCCAACGCAGCCGCCGTCTCTCCAGCCATTTGTGCTCTAATGAAGGAAGTGGTGAGAGAGCATGGAGAGGATAAGGAATGAGTGAATAAAGGCATTTTAGTCATTTAGGCTTGTAAATTCATTTTTTTTAATTTGATCTAAATGAAACCCTAACGGTGTTTGAAAATAGGGTCAAACGGTAGCTTCAATTTTGAAAAACGGGGTCAAATAAACAAACTTGAAAAAACAAGGTCAAATTAGTACTTAAACTTCAAAATAGGGTCAAATAAGCAATGTCCCTTTTACTTTTGTCACCTACATGTCAGACCAACTTCTATTTTTAATTTTTTATGACGCTGCCACGTCAACATACTTAAACCAAGTCAATGTGCCACGTCATCAGAAAATGCTTTCAAAAGCAACGAAGGAGTCAATTTGCACCGGTTTTTGAAGTTCAGGGAGGCATTATATCCGGTTTTACGGTTGAGGGATGCGATTCAACTAAGTGCAAAAGATGAGGGAAGCAAAATAAACTTATTCCTACATTAGGTAAGTTTTTGAACCCCAAGAGTCTAGTAGCCCACAATATATCATTTCCAGAATTTTTTAATTTATTTTTGAAAGATTTAAAAATAAGTCGTCGTTTTAAAGTTTTGCGAAATTATACTCCTCCCATCCTATGTAGGACGTGCTATGCGACGTGGCACAAGGCTGGAGGGGCGCACCATGGTAATTTTGCAGGCGCCCCTTCTCGCCCTCCCTGAGGGTGATTTATCGCCGGAGAAGGCCGGCTACAAAATTGCCATAGTTGGTCCCTCCTACGGGTTCCATTGCACATAGATTGTCTTACCATATGGTGATTTATATGCCCCATCCTATGGTAGGGCGGGAGGAGTATATTTATATACAACTTTGAAATGGAATTTATTTTTTAAAACTCTTAAAAATAAATATAAAAATAACAAAAAATTCATCATTTCCAATGCTTGCTTTTTAAAAGAGTAAATTTTGTAGAACTTCGGATTTATGGTCCAAATTATAGATAACCACTGAAATTTTGACATATATCACATAATCACATATGTTCCTTTTTGGTATTGTAGTTTCACAAGACCTCACCTTAATTAGATTTTAATTATGCTGACATGTGGGACCCGCTTAGCTCTACTTGGTGTAATCGTATAGATGGGGCATATAGCCGGCCCAATGGTTGGAATAATCGCGTCCACACGTACTCTGTAGAAATCGCGAGTCGCGGCGAGAAGCACACACGCAGCCGGCGCAATTGTCGCACGTACGATCGCCTGAAATCAGTACAAGTATATCTATGCAGGCAAAGTTCCATAAACCAATTTATATGTATATATAATAATCTCATTTTTACAACACACTGTTAAATGTAATTGAATTTACATCAAATTAATTAGCCTGTCGTCATGTCACTGATTGAGTCATATACAAATCGATAGCATCAAGATTGGCTACTCGATCCGTATTTGTTAAGAATCAGCCCCATTGACTCAATCAAGTATGATGCCGTTTACAGCAGCACCAGGAGGGGATGGCCTGATGCCGGCCAGCGACGAGTCAGACGAGAAGCAGGGGGAGGCGACAGCAGTTTAGGCTGGTCAGGGTTGTCAATTTGCGTAATTTCGCACCCTACCGGCATTCAAATAATATCCGTCGAAATTTTTGGTTTTTTTTAATTTGGTCAAAGTTTATTAAAATTCAATCAAATTTTATTAAATTTTCAAATAATTTCGGATAACAGAATGAAAATTTTCAAAAAATTCGGTGCACCAAAATTTCTGAAATTTTAGCCCAAAACGAAATTGACCACCTCATTCGGCCCCAGCCTCACACAAAGAGAGGAGAAGATAGAGCAGCAGTGAGAGAGAGAGAGGAGAGAACGAGATAGAAATTGACTGAGTTTAAGAGAAAACTTGGCAGTGATAGCATTTTTCAATTTTACAAAATTTCAGTGACACCTAGCTGATATTGTGAATAGTAATGGTATTTTTTTAATTCAGCATATTTGTAATAGCATGATCAAATTAATCCAAGATAAAAGTCCGTATACTATTTTAAAAACGATTTTTTTCATGGTGCCACACTTTTCTTTCGCTAGCGGTTGATAGTGGGTCCCACCTGCGAAGGCATATCCCGTGGGGACTGGGGAGGGGGCACGGCCCACTGGCGTAGATCTATTATCACCGATGGGCTACGTAAGTTAACTGCCAGCACAAATATCTGCATTTTAACGGTTGGCGTCTACCATCGCAAATAGTTATATTCACTGGCCTTTGGTTTCTGATGGCACTACTAACCACCTGCAAAAGTCCATTTTGGCCGACTGGAAAAACCCATTTTATAGAGTGATATTATAATTCTTATATTGAAGACCATGCTAGCTATAACTTACTAATTATTAATTTCGAATTTTTACGTTAACTTAATAAGATACTAAATTGAGTGTACAAAATAGACGCTGCTTTGAATTTATTATGAATACTCCACGAACGAGCGAATTCACTCGTTCCAAAAGACCCAGTAGGAGTATTTTCTTGTGATTTAGTTTAAATAAACAATTGCTGCTGAAAAAAGAAACAATCATCCTTAGATTTCATATCAATATTTTATAACTGCAATACTACATAGGATCAGGATCTGAATGGTCCAGCAAGGCTTTGAACACAAGTTTACTGTGACATGGATCATGATCCTGACAACCTAGGCAGTAGTAACAAAAGTTCAGATAAAACCCTGGAATATGGCATAGCCCAGAGTCAGGACATGCACTACATACTAGGTCAGAGTAAAACATGCAAGCACCACTTTTCAAGGGAAACACCAATCCTGAAAACGTGGCATCTTGACTCAAAACCAAAGCTACATGTGCTCATAAAATAAATCACATCCAGGACTCTTCCGTTTTGATTCAGACTAATTAACAAGAGCTTGTGTCAGAAAACACCCAGCTAGGAGACATGCATGTGAGCATCTGTGATTCAGATTTCCAAAGCATTCTGAAATCTGGGAACAAGCTGTTAGCTGACCCCATATATATATATGCAGACAAAAGCCCTCAGTTTGCATTGCCTTGGGCTTCAATTGACAGACCTCAACTCTCTTGTTTTGGAACTTCATTTCATCAGCACTAGTAACTGCAATGAAGAGTTCCATGGTATTGGCTTCTGTCATCCTCCTGATCATGGCAGCAACAGCTCATGGTAATGTTTCAGGACAAGTAATATCTAATACTCGTTTTCATATTTGAGTTCAGCTACATTTTGTTTCTACCTCTCATTGTTGTGTATCATGAATGTAAAGGTACTGATTCTTGTTACATACAATCCATTTCATCTTGTATAGGACTTAGGCTGGACATGGGGTTGCATGCAGCTCTGAACAATGAGGTCAGTACAATCTGTGAGCCTGAACACAGCTCCACTAATTAACATGCTGAATCGCAGCACGGAAATGTAGTGATCAACTGAACTTGAACACCTAAATTGACAGGGGATGCTGAACTCCAAATGGCAGTCAACTGCTAACCGTCCGATCGACACGCGTCGCGCATCCAACGACAGGCGTGGCCCAGGTAGAAGTAGAACGAGGCCACCGAAGATGAGCAATCCCCATGACATGGATCCAAGGTTCAGTGAGGACTACTCCGGGCCCGGTGGTCATTCACCGAATCACCACCGAACAACTCCCTGCGGTCCATGCTAGATTGCAAGTAGCAGATAGATCATAGATGATGAAAACTTGTCCAGTTTTCTCTGAAGATGCTACCTCCATCAATCTTCAGAAAGATGAACTGGACCATGTGAGCTCTGTGGCTCACTAGTTTTTCAGCACATTAGTTAGTTCTGAAGAGTAGTTTTTCTTGTATGATTTGATTATGTCCAATTGAATTCAGCTTCAGTCTGAAGAGAACTGTTAAGGAACAGGATTAGTACTGTTCTAGGATTGTCATTCAGGCAACTGTACCGGACGGCTACATGTCATTCGACAGTCCAATCAAACTGTCAGTTAGAGTAAACTCAGGCTTAAAATTATCTTTGTTTTCTTGTTCTCAAGGCATTCAGGTTAGACAGGGTTGCAGGAAACGCTGCGCCTTTTTGAAGGAGAGTGTACAGTTTGTGCTGCAAATTCTGCTCCCTAACAAAACTCTGACGACTACTGATGAGCAGAGAGATGATTGCTTATCTCTTCGAATGTCGGATGCTTCCTGGATAAAGACAGGGGAGACAGCTGCAATTAAAATAAGAGGAGAGATTTCTTTCTCAAGCAAGGCGTTAGTGGCAAAATTATATTCATATCACAGTTGCAGGAGCTTACAAAGTTACTAGCACCAGAAGCAAAATCTCAAACTGTACTCCTGAGCTAAAATTTGATTTCTTTGGCACTATTTACACATTGAATTGTTTCCTGTAGACAACAACAACATATAGCAAAGCCCAGACGACTGAAAACAGTTATCATTTGATTCAGTATGATGTAATCCATATTCAGGTGAGCATTTCGCCCCGGGTGATGCTTAAAAAAAAAAGAAAAAGGTATGATGTGATGCCTATTATTGACAAAATTCTCTAGGTTATGGAGATAGATTCATGAAGGACCAGCAGGATACTTCTCAATCAAGTCGAATAATTCATCTCCTATACCGAAACCAAGCATCCTGGCCATGTCAGCCGTCTTGAGTCCAGGTTTAGGATGTTCCTGCTGCTTTAGCCATGAGTAAACAATGAACACCTTCTTCATCACAAACAGCTCCAGCGCCTCCGGGTTGAAGACCACACCAAGCCTCATGCTCATCTGCAGATTTTTGCAAATATGAATTCATCTTAAACTCCAAAACGACATGGAAGTATATGTAGGACCAAATTATTTGGGGATGCAAAATTCAGGTTATATCTTGTTACCTGGTGAGGGGCCAGCATTGCGGCATATCTGGCAAGTTCACCAGCTCTCCAATCAAGCACAACAGGGAACCAAGGGTAACAAGCATCAAGCCTCACAAACCATAGCCTTATATCAGGGAACTCTGACAGCTCCCTCACATCATATGGATCCTCCCTCTCATAGTTTATAGTAAACCCGACCGTTCGATCCAAGAGATTTCTTGTTTGAGCTGAATGATACACATAAGATTCTTGTTAACTATAACATGGAATTGACTGTTGAAACAATACAATGTCATGACTTTCATTGTTGCGCACCTGGTGTCAGGGAATTCAAGTCACCAAGTACTTCATGAACAGGCGAAAGGTCGAGCGTCCGGATGATATCGGTGTTGATGACAATCTCAAAGCGACCTTCTGTAGGTGGTGGTGGAGGCTCAACTTGTGGGGCATCTACAGCAAGCCGTCGAAGATTGTCATTTGCAAGCAAAAGAAATGGATTTACCAAATCAAGGAACAGGTGCATATTATACACACAGAACGACTGATAGGCAACAAATAAAGTTTTAATTGTAACAAATTTTACTAGGTAACATGAGGTCAACCCAGCATGAAGAAATAAAATCACTTCCACCCTTGCTTTGTTTCAAGCATAATAACAACTTTTACCCTTCAGGGAACCTCTAGCAACCAATAAACAGGGTTTCACATAAATGAACCACCCTGTGGTTAATTAGGCATTTCCAAGCCACATCCCTCCCATGCAATTGAAGTTTGAGAACATCTTTGACTGAATCAAACGATTGAGTGAAAAGCTCAAATGTTTTAGTCATAACAAGATTAGTATTCTTGCAATTTGCACATCAACTGCGATGGTTATCAACTGTGATGGTTGATGTAACTTCACTAAGAGTCAATCATCTCAGTCAGATACTCATATGTAGCAGATTGACGGTGCACTGTAATAGTTAGCAATGGAAGAAAAAAAAACAAGTCAGTAGTATTGTCTTACTACAGAAAATTATATAGTTTTCAAACTCAAACACAAAACTGAATAAAATACGGAATTTTGGTTTTCAACCGCTCTCCATGGAGAAATTTATTTCCAAATTGGCAGTAGTTTTTACTCCTAGTCGCTCACCGTCTTGGTCGGTGGAGAGGGAGAGGTCGAAGTTCCCGGAGGGGTTGAACGCGACACGGAGACGAAACCCCTCCTCCGCCGCCCTCCTCGCCTGCGCCGCGACGGGCCACCGCAACCCAGAGTACCGACCCAACGAGCCGCTGCCGGGGAAACGCCTCAGCGTCAGACGTTGCGAGCTGGCCACTGGGAGTTGGAGTGCGGTGGCGGCCATGGCGGCGACGGCGACGCGATGGACGCGCGGCCGCCGGCGGCGAGGAAGAGAGGTGAGGTCACCGCGGCGGGAGACGCAACGCCGGCGAACGGTCGTGGCTTCTCCCCGCCAAATTTTATTATCCTTTAATTATCTCGCTTTTTCTTCTTCTTTTTTTATTATTATTACAAGTAATTTATATTTATTTTTTTTATGGAACAGCACATTTGTGGGCCCATATGGGCCTTTTAGCTTCTCCCGGCCCGGCCCATGAAATGTGCGGCCCAATTTGTACAGCTCAGCTCCTGGTGTTGACTGTCGAGACAAAGCAGGGCACAGATCACATGCAGTTTGACATCATCTAACTCCATTTTCTTCTACTTCAAAATTCAAGGTTGATGAAATATATTAACCCATGTGTTTCACATACACATGTTCGTTTCAATTTTTTTTTTAAACTAGTGCGTGCATGTGAGATGAATCCTCACAAAATCAAAAGTAGTATGGCCTTTCAGAACATGCATGCCGTCGTTTTGGAGCTCCAACTCTTGTTGGTATCTGCTGTGCGTCAAACGATAAGACATGGAACTTTCTTAGCTCAAAAAAGATAATCTTTGCTCGATTATATAGAGACAAAATTAACATGCACAAGGAGGTCGTGACCCATCACACCAAGTTTCATCCCAGCTTGAAAATGATATTAGTTGCATAATGCCCTTTATTAATGACATGTTATAATATCACTTGATGTGTAACCGAGCAAAATTTGGATGCTTTCATGCTTAGGATGTTGTTGAGCCGTTTTCCATACATATATATGATATATAGTCACTCCGTTTTCGAATAATTGGTAATAACACTATTCAAGTTTAAATTTTGACCACTTGTTTTTTTATGAAAATTTATAGGTATTCAAATATACTCCCTCCGTTATATCATCGAGTGTGTGTAGCGTTATAAATATAATCATAAAACTTTTATTCATCATAATATATAACCATTTAATAGTAATTAGCAAATCATTTTAGTCAAATTGTTAGTTATTATAAGCATGCATATGTAACCTATTAAATTTTCGTGCTTTATCATGTGTTCAGTGTGATAAAATCAATTAAATAGGTATAGTTATATCCTGGTATATGTTGTGTACAATACAAATACAAATATGAAACCCTTCACAAGTTCGATCACATGCTTCTTTCTTTCCGTCGTTACACTTATTATAATTGCGTTGACAATATGTAATGATTTTTTAAGACCATTTACCGGCTCTGCCTTCCATTGGAAATCACAAACTATTTGCAACAGCGATTACAAGTGGCCAAAGAAAAACACTACGTACGTACTGATTCAATTTCTTTTCCCCATTTGCGGTATACGTAAGTTGTTCATTAATTCAGCCGGTATTATACGAGGTGACATAAATGTAATCAAAATCATAATGCAAACACAAGTACCCATCAACTCATATAATTAACCAATCTGTGTGTTACTCTAAATAATCATCGTCGTTAGCTAGCTGAATTAAGCTGTACCGTACTATATATATACTTAACTCCACATGCATATATGTCTGCAAGACGGCAACGCTGTATCATTGTCCTAGATCGATGCCCTTATCCACTGTTTTGGCCAGTTTCAAAAAAAAAAGAAAAAAAAAACACTGTGTGGCCCCTCCACGTTTGCAACGTTTCTTTAACTAGGGCTCAACAGTATAATATGAGATGCTCATCATCATTGACATGCTGTCTAATTAATTATTAAGAAGTTCACATAAAGATGGAGTTTAACCTAAGTCACCTTTGTAAGAGGTTTTTTTTTGGGGGAAGGAGGTGACGATTGAAGACCTTCATCTTTGCATCAACTCCAAAGTTTCTTAGAATATATGAGCATGATTCATGTATGCTCTTGCTTATGACACGTTTTCTAACCTAAAATTATTAACCTTCGAGAGCGAATCCAGGATAAGATTAAAGGGACTCATCTCCTTTTTCCTCCTTCAGCCCTCTAACTTTTTCACCTCTCCTCTTCTTCATCCTCCCCTCTCTCCTTCTACATATCAATGGTGATCTAGTGGAATACGGAACTCAAGTTCTCCCAGCATCTACGCACGTTGGATCCGTCCCAGAATCCAGTATGCCTTGATCTCAGTGGTGGAGCCCTGTAGCCAAATCTTATATATATAGAATTTCGAAGTTTTCGGGTTTTCCGTTTATACAACAATATATATGAGTCGTTTATGAACTTATTTACAAAACCTGTGGGGGATGACTTGACATAGTCTATATATACTACATAGAACTTACAGTAATTAACAAGTTCAGATATAAAATGTTCACAACCTCATCAGGAGAAGAAATTAAAGTCTCACACGTGCATGCATGCATCCGTGCATTCCCGTTCTTCTTCATTCACTCGGTAAGGACGACTCTGTGCAACTTGATATATATAGATCACATATATATGATGAGCATGTTTCACGTAGTCTCTGTGGCTTACGCGCTGTCTAGCCCTAATTAATCTAACTTAATCCCCTTTTTAACTCCATCTAACCTCCCACTTGCACTAATCCATCATTCCCTTGACCTAATAACTACCCCACATATACTGCTATAGTGCTATATATACATATATATAGAACCCAACTCAAATTAAAGCTAGCTAAGAGGAGGCCGGAGACGACGACGACGACGGCGGCGATGGGTAGCGGCGGCGAGCAGATGGCGAGGCTGCAGGAGCAGGCGAGGTTCGTGGGAGTGGCGGCGGGGAACGCCGGCGTGGGGTTCGACGAGGGGCGGTGGCTGAGCAGGGTGAGGGAGAGCATGGCGGAGCGGGCGGCGGAGGAGCTCGGGGCGGCGGCGGTGAAGGTGTTCGACGTGCCGAGGGTGCTGAGGTCGACGAGGCCCGAGGCGTACGCGCCGCACCACTTCGCCCTGGGCCCCTACCACTGCCGCCGCCCCGAGCTGCGCGACATGGAGCGCTACAAGCTCGCCGCCGCCAAGCGCGCCGAGAAGCTCTTCGCCGCCGGCAAGAGGTTCGACGACCTCGTCCGCCGATTCTCCGACATCCACGACAAGATCCTCGCCCCCTACCACAGGTATATATGTACTGTGTATTGCCTAGCTTCCAGCTGAAACTATATACACTTGGGTTTGTAAAACGGACACTAACCATGCATTAGTCTATAATTAATCAAATGTTTAGTGCCATAAACTTGAAATTTTGATTTATTGTTTTAAAGAAATTTCTATTAAAAGTGTTTTCATAAAACGTACTCGCTCTATTATAAGCCATGATCAAACTCGACATGATTTTCAAAATTAATCTTTGGTTTATAATTTCTCGTATACTGTAAAGTTTGTAGCAACAAATTATAACCGTATGAAACATATTCAAATCTCAATCCAATGATATTATTTTCAGCAAATAAAAATTCATATTATTTATACTAATTGTTGGTAAAATATTTTTAAAGTTAATGTTGAAATATGTGTGCGCCTTTTATATTATTTGATGGACGGAGTATCACTGTATTAGAGAGAAAAATAAAACGCTTGTACCACAACATTTTCTTTTTAGAAATCACGCTCATGGATGACAAATTGTAGAATTGATTACTAATTGTTAGCAAAATGTCCCTCAATAAACATAAACAAAGACATAGACCCTGTTTGGATCCGGAGGGCTATCTATTAAATAGCCCTCCAGAATCTTGCTATTTAAAAGTATTAAACGTAGATTACTGACAAAACCCATTCCATAACCCCTAGTCTATTTTGCGAGACGAATCTAAAGAAGTATATTAATCCATGATTTGCTAGAGTGATACTCACTGGTGGAGAAAGGGGCTTTACTCCCGGTTCGTAACCCCCAAACTGGGACTACCAATCCGGGACTAAAGATAGTGATCTTTAGTCCCGAGTGAAAAAACCGGGAGTAAAAATTCATCTTTAGTCCAGGTTGGTGTTACCAACCGGGACTAAAGATAGAGCCTTTTTAGTCCCGGTTGGTAACACCAACCGGGACTAAAGACAGAGCTAGCCTAGCTAGATCCGATTGCTCTATTATTATTTTATTTTCTTCATTTTGTTTTTAATATATTGATTTCACTCCATCCCCATCCCAAAATCCCAAATAAATTATCCCCAAATCCTCAAATCCCCAAATCGGCCATATTCAAATAGATCACAAAATCTTAAAACAAAATTACATCACAACTTCTACAAAATTCATCACAAATATATCACATATTCACAGACATCACACACAAATCAAATACACAGATCTGAATCACAAATTCTTAGAAAAAAAAGAAAAAAAAACACAGGCTGCTGCAGCCGCTGCCGCGCCGCCCGCCGCGAGGCCCCGCGGTCCGCCGCCGCACCGTCATGAGGCCGCGCCACAGCGCCGTCCGCCGCCGCCCGGGCCTCTGCCCGCCGGTGCGCCGCGGCGAGGCCGCCGGCCGCCGGATCTATCAGTGGGATGATGGGGAGGGAAGGAGAGGAGTTAGAGGAGAGAAGTTAGAGAAGAGGAAGAGGAAGGGATGCTGGGGGAGGGAAGGAGAGGAGTTAGAGGAGAGGAGGAGAAGGAAGAGGAAGAGATGGGATGAAGAGATAAGGTCAGTGGAGGAAGAGGTGAAGAGATAAGGCTGCTCGTCTCCTCCTCCTCGATCTCGCAGATGGCAGATGCCTCGTACTCTCCGCCACGATCTTTTGTTCCGGTTGGTACCAACCGGGACTAAAAATAGATCTTTAGTCCCGGCTGGTAACACCAACCGGGACTAAAGATTAAAAAGCAGCTCTAAACTTTTGAACCGGGACTAAAGATAATCTTTAATCCCGGTTTTTATTGTAACCGGGACCATTGTGGGTTTTGGCCGACCGAGCAAAGATGGTTTCTCCACCAGTGACTACAGTAATCAGCCGCTAATTATGGATTAATATACATCATTAGATTCGTCTCACAAAATAGCCTAGTGGTTATGGAATCGGTTTTGTCGGTAATCTACGTTTAATAATTCTAAATAGCAAGATTCCGGAGGGCTATTTAATAGCCCGGAGGATTCAAACAAGGCCATAGTGGTGACATGACACTCTCGTTGAAAGCCAACACTAACAATCAGACGGAAAATAGAAGATTAAAACTTGAGAAGGAGATTCGTT